GCACAGGAAAGTCCAGTGACACAGCGAAGAAGCCTTTCTACACAGATGTGGAGATGATGGGCCTCTGAGACTTGCCACCTTCTCCAGTACCCAAACATTCCTCCCTTTTTAAAAAAGTATTTTTTATTTCCAATTTTAACAAAGGGTGCGGGGGAGGGGATTATAAATGAACAGAAAGGAAAGGAGGAAAAGAAGGAAGAAAAGAAAGAATGGTTTTGGTAGAATTTCAGAGTATAAAACTGATTGGTTGAACTCTGAATGAATGCCAGTGGGCTTACGGTAGACCACTAACTATATACACCCAATGGCAATTTTATTTGTACCCAGTGGGGATAACATATCTAGGTATTTTGGTTCTGAGAGAGATTTCTCAAATGATTAAAAGGCATTTAATTAGGGTGCTGAAGGATTTTTCCAGCGATTTGGAAAGATGGGCACTACCTACTGTAAATTTAGTATTTGGGGCAGTTAAGATGAATGTTCTGCCATGGATAATATACATACTTAATGGTGTTCCACTATATATTCCCTAAGTGTATTTTCAAAAGATTAATGGGATATTTAGCAAGTTTATTTGGGATACCTCTCCACCTTGTTTTCCACTGAAGAGAATATAGCTTCTCCCATGTATTAACCCCCTTGCTGATTTCATGCCCACCCCAACTTATAATTAGGCTCTGTTTCATGTTTATACTTTGCATGAGATAAAAAACAGATCCCAGCAGTTACCAACTTTGGAAATTTGAATGTCATTTCACATCACTTCCTATTGTCATTTATCTCCCCCAACCCCCCCAGGTTGTGATCCCCACCCCCCACCCCAGGTAGAAAATGAGAAACCACACACAGACATTATTTGCTGTTTCATGATGTCTCAGTAAAAATCTGATGCAGCAGAATTAAAACAGATCCTCTATAATTGGCATAACTTTATTTCTTTTTTGAAAAAAAATTATTTCATAAAATGTATATATGCCTGCTTGTTAAAACAACTTCAAAGTAGTTTACTAAGAGGGGGGGAAACAATAAAATTATCAGTAAAAAATGGTAAAAGCTACTATTTCAAATATTCTAATTTTTTAAAAAAATAATTAAAAATAAAATAAACAATAAGCTAAAAACGGATTAAAACACATTTCAGCCTTCTGGGTAGGCTTGTCTAAACAAAAATGTTTTTATCAGGGGCTGGAAAGGGTACTGCCGATAGGCATGGGATTCCAAAATATGAGCAGTGCTACAAATTCTTACAAACGTGGAATGGGTATTATGTGGCTGTTAAGTGGGCAATATATGGGGGTAAGGCAATCTCGCAATCACAGTAGCCTTTTCAGAAGATCGCTGCATTTCTTTTGTTTTCTGTTCTTGGTTTTGTACTGTGCTTTCACTGTTTATTTTTGTAAGCCACTGTGAGGGTTGGAAAGATAGTACAGCAATGTTCAAATGGATTAATAATACCCTTTTTTCCCCTGCTGTGGCCCATGCTTAGGCTGGGAGCCTCCCTTCAGAGACCGCCAAGATTTTGGTCAGTTCTTGGAATTCTGGACTAAGGTCGAGTCTTCCTTCAGTTTTACTCCATTGCTTTTCTGGCGGTTCCAGTTCGTACTTTCCCCCAGCCAGCAGTTCACTTCCCCACCCTCTCCAGCACCATGGGAGCTGCAGTTCACATGAAAAACAGATGAGGTGGTGAAACTTTTCCTGGACCTTAGACTGCAAGTTAGGGGAGGGTAGCATGACTGAATGGTCCTCCATTCAACAAAAGCAACAGGAGAATGGTTAACCCCTCTAATGTGCTAGTTTTCCAAAGAGAGGAGTTTTGTTTTGTTTTTCATGGAGAAGTATGAAGTCACCAGAGAAAATTTCCCACCTCAGCTGCTGTTCATGCAAACTAGACCTCAGATTGGCTTCTAAAAGGGGTGCCCCACCCCTACAACAGCTTTCCTGCCTTGCTGGTCTAGGCTCTGGGGATCTACCACTTTTTAAGGGGGCATGGGGCACATCTAGAGATCTGTTGTGGCCACCACAAAATGCCCATTTTCACAAAAAAGAAAAGCAACGGACAATGCAGAGAAATCCCCCTCCTAAAAAAACCCCGGTGGAACATCTATAGCCTCTCCCCATATCACCAATAAAACACAGCTAGAAGAGCAGGAACCCCAAAACAGAAATTGCTAACCCAACCAAGCAACAGAAAACACACACCCGAAAACACACACTCAAAAACCCTTTGGTTTTTTTTCAAAGGAGGAAGGGGTCTTGGGGTGTCTAAGGGGTCTGTGCTATCCATGTGAATCATAGTGTGGTACCCACATGTTGGGTCTAGCTTCTAGAGTCTCACTTAGGCTGAAATAAGTATTGGATTCCAATCCTAGACAAGGCCTGCCCAAGGGGTGTGTGGGTGGGTGTGTCTGTCTGTCTGTCTCTCTGTGTATGTACACCTTTGTAGGCAGGAAGAATAGCTCAATGAATTAATACATGGTTTCTATGCAGTATTTTCCAGGTTCAGACTCTTCAGTTAAACAGATCAGGTAAGGGGTGATGTGAAAGACCTTCTGCCGGAGAACCCTGGAGATACACTGCCTGTCCAAGTAGACCACACTAGCCTAAATAGACAGATAGTACCAGATAGCTTCCTAAGTGCTAGTGCTGGTATTTTAACAGGGAATTATTTACCACGCTTCACAGACATTATCTCAGCCAACTGCATTACCTCAGAAACCCTGGTAGCAGTTCCATAAAGGAGGGCATTGGCCTTCAGTTAGTGAGTCTACCAAGTTGTGGCCTGGTCTGAAGTGGGTTGCAATGGCACCATTACCACCATACAAATTTATGGTAAAAACATTAAAATATGGGTCTCCCTGGTGGGTTCCAGGTTGGGGATAAAGTAGGGCAGTATTGTTATCCCCATATTGCAGATATAAGACTGAGGCTGAGAATCGCTTGTCCAAGGCTATCCAATGAACTCATGGCTGAGGTGAGATTTGAACTGGGGACTGACGTACACCCACTAACACCATTCTCATTCTGGCCAAACTTTCCTGACCTAACTGGAATTCCTGCTGAATCATATGAAGAAAAAGAAAATTATGTAGAGAATAGGAAATTTAGATACGTATATGTATAGATATGCAAATTTTTAATCAATAAATAATTTTAAAAGAGTGGAATTCCTGCTGAATTGCCCTTGAGGCAGACAACGCAGTATCACAAAGGTACTCCTAAAAGCGACAGCTTCCTCACCATTTGAATGTAGCCAAAGGACTGGCCCTTGAACTTTGCTGCGTGTGACACCGCAGTTCTATTCCTGAGTGAAATCTGAAATGCTGGGCCTGAAAAGCCAGTCTTCCATATATTCTCATACCCTGTGACATTTCTCCAATGAAAATAGGGACGTCCTATTCCATAATAATGATTGTCCTAGCCACTCTGGGCAGCTTCCAACATACAGTGGAACCTCGGTTGCTGAACATAATCCATTCCAGAATACCGTTCGACTTCTGAAATGTTCGACCACTGAGGCGCAATGGGCGGTCGGCAAATTCCATTGAGAAAATGGAGAAACATCCCTCAGAAGCCGTTTGACTTCTGAGGCACGTTCGAAAATGGAAGCATTCATTTCCGGGTTTTCGGTGTTCCGAATCATTTGGCTTCCAAGACACTCGAAAACTGAGGCTCCATTGTATTTAAAAACATAATAAAACATTTAAAAAAAAATTCCTATACAGGGCTGCCTTCAGATGTCTTCTAAAGGTTGTATAGTTACTTATCTCCTTGGCTCATGGGTCACATAACTCCATACCCTCCAACATTTCTCCGATGAAAATAGGGACAAGCTAAGGAGAAGCAGGACATTCTGGGATCGAATCAGAAACTGGGACGCTTCTGGAAATGTGGGACTGTCCCTGGAAAACAGGGACCCTTGGAGGGTCTGTATTCTACGCTTGGAAGAGACAGGCTGTTAGAATTATGGAAGAGCCTGCTTAGAAACTGTAGAAGAGAGAGGAGGAGGTGGGGATTTTGAAGAGTGTGTATATGCATTGGGACCGCAGCCATGCCAAAGCCAGCCAGGATGTCAGTGGCAAAGACTTGGCCATGGATCAATGGCGGGGAAGCTGTTCCCTCAGACTAAACAGGCCTGGTTCCCTTCCAGTCTCTCCAAATAGCAAGCTCCTGACATCTCAGGGAAGGGAAGGATGTTTGATTTTCAGAGCAGGTCTGAAGCCAGAGATAGGATGCTCTTAACCAAGGGCGGAGGAGAAGCACCCCAGGCCTTGGGAGGGAGGGAGCCCATTCTGGGAAAGAAAGAAAAAGTGATGTCAACGTCTCCTTGGCTTCCGAGTGGCTCTGCCTCGCCCCTGCCAACTCTGAGCACGGAGAGGCAGCAGAGCGAAGCCAGCAGTGAGTGCCACACGAACAGGCACTGGGCCCAAAAGCCTCCCTTTTCCAAAGCTCGTCAATCACCTGGGGGAAAACACTGCAATTTTCCCAAATCAGAGCAATTTTCCCAAATTAGCAGAGACTTTGTTGTTATTACCCCCGTCCGTCCCGTGTTTCCCCTTCGGTGATGGATCGCACAAGAGAGGCCTGCCCAATTAACCGAGCTACTCCCTGGTAGAGAACTGGGGTGGGTGCCAGGTTAACTCTTTCAGCACCAGAGGGGTGCTTGGAAGTCTCTAGCTGCCATTTATGTTCCACAAAAGCCTCTTTTGTCTCTCGGCAATTGCCAGTTGGAAAGAAGGAGAAAGATTCTGGGCTTTTATCTGATGCGAGTTTGTTCGCTGTCCAGGGTGGGGTGTGTGTGTGTGTTATGATTTTTTTTTTTTAAGGGAAATTTAAAATCACCTCACAAAAAACACACACAGCGTTTTTGCAAATGTTCCAGAAATGTTTTGCAAATAACGAGTTTAATCAGAAACTGTTTTACCTGTCAGGAAAAAGGAAGAAGGGTGTGTGTGCTTACCATATAAAGGGTCCAAATATTTTAAAATGTGACATTAAAAATAACCCATTGGGCATAAGGGATAGCTCAGTCAGTAGAGCATGAGACTCTTAATCTCAGGGTTGTGGGTTCGAGCCCCATGTTGGGTAAAAGATTCCTGCATTGAAGGGGGTTGGACTAGATGACCCTTGTGGTCCCTTCCAACTCTACAATTCTATGATAAGGCTATCATGGTGATTGCTGATCCTCACCAGCTGAATGGGAGATGACACATGCAAAGGTTCTCCCATTTATTTCCCAAACTCTCAGACATGTCTTGTTATTTCCTGCTGTGTAGCACACCTGGACTGCTGTTTGTAACAGCAGAGGAGGGTGATCACCAGGATTGGGAGTGGGGAGAAGAGGCTTCAGTTGCCTCATCTCCTTATCCAATGGTAAGGAAGGAATCTTGGAGACGTAACTTAATATCTCTAGGCAAGAGGTGGATCCAAGACGAGTGAGATGCTTGGGTAGTTTATGGCAAGGGTTGCTAGCCTGTGGTCCTTCAGGTATAGTCCAACTCCCCATCATTCCTGACCAACCATGGACCATACTGGCTGGGGCTGAAGGAGTTCATCATCCACAAGGTCACTAGTTCTTCACCTCCCTGCTATGGAGGCAGGGGAAAGAACACTGCTGTGCAGAAATATTCATGTTAGTGTATTCCACTGGAGACATGTACTGTAGGAATTTTGGAATGGCTATGAAAAAAACCTAACTTTTTAAAAGGAGGTAGCATAACTATGGGGGTGTTGAGTAAGCTTGAATGAGCAGAGGGAAAGCCATGTTAATCAGTCCAATGTTTCCAGTACCACCCACCCAGATGCCTCTGAGAAACCTATAAACAAAGCAGCAATCCAGGAGCGCTCCTCTGTTGTATGCCATTATCTGGTATTCAAAGGTATATTGAATAATACAGTGAAGGAGCACTTAACCTCGTCTGTTTTATTTTGATTAAGTAAAATAATTTATTTGAAGTACATAAAAAAGGTCGCAGAGAAACTGGTGGTGGATTTCATATTGTTGTGATAGGCACTAGCCAGTAGGTGCTTGCAGTTTCTCGTAGCTACGTTCCACATGGTACTCATGAGCAAAGCAGATGCACAACATGGAAGAAGCACTAGAATTTGCCAGCAACAAGGATTGTGATATAAGTGTTGGGGAATTTTCTCACAAGAGGAGTGCTGCCTTGGAGAAAAACATCTGGGGACCTTGACAACAACTATGAAGTTACTGTTCTAAAAATAATTGAGGAAGACACAAAGATCTGGAATATTAAATGTTTTACAACTTGATTCCATCTCAACATTTTCTTCTTCGGGTTTATCTTCCAGGTTTCTCCAAAGAATGTATAGTTCAAGTCCACAATAATTTCTTCCACGCCTTTTCTTTGAACTTTACAGCAGAAATGGGGAACATTTCCCCCACTCAGCCTGAGTGTTGCATTGCCTCATGGGCAAACCTCCCAGAGGCCTCAAGCCAGGGATGGGCTTCGCCAGAGGCAAAAACAGACAGAGCAATGGATGTGACTCTTACCTTTGTCCAGTTGGCTGTACTACAGCTAGGAAAAAAACCAGACATTTCTACACAAGCGTCTCTCCATTCAAGCAAGCAAGAGCCATCATCACTGCTCCAGGACATATTACAGCCAGGCAAAAGCATTTGAGGACACAGAACAGGGACGATGAATCATGTGGCCTGAGAAGGATCCTGAGGGCCAGGTAGAAAGGCCAGGGAGGCCACGTTCAGCCTGTGAACCTGAAGTTCCTTGTTTCTGCTTAAGAGGCTGCAGTGTACCTGTTGATGTCTTACCTAGGATGAAGTGGAATGGAGACAATCAGGATCACTTCCTGTCTGGTGCTACCTCAGTTCCTTTGCTGCCTGTAAAATGGAAGCAAGGGTTTTCTTGTTTTTGCTTTGAACATCTTAGACAATACCTCGAGGCAGGTATTACCTGTAGGTATAGTAGGCCATGCATCTCAGCATTAGGCACAGAGAAAGCCATTTATGACGGCATTGATGCAGCACTGATAATAAGTTATATACCCGCTCTTTAATTACCCTTCCTCATATATGAGATCAGCTGCTTCACAGTCCTCTCTGTGTTGTTCCATTTCCTGCCCCTATTCTGGCACCCTTCCTCCCACCCAAGAAAGCTGCAAGATGAGGCTGCTCTCTCATTGCCGTCACATACAATCAGACCCTTTGATCAGCCAAACAGAAATGGGGGCCAGGAGGAGGGGGGAAAGGGACAGAATCAAAGAACACTCGAGTCTCAGTTTCTCCATGAAAGTCTTTCTTCTGTCTGCTATATTTTGGTTCCTGCTCTCTGACAAATAACCCCCATCACTAAGCTTCCAAGTACTAGGCTTGAGAGGGTGAGCCTGCTGCGCCTAACTGAATTGGCCTATAATGAGACCCTTGCCAGGATTAGCACTGAGTCCATGAGGAAGCAATCCAACCACATCTGCCCTTTGGGTGGACCCAACACGGGCTGGAATGGAAATACAAACACAAAGTGTTCTTCCTCTGTCTCTCTATGAATCCTTAATGGTGCCATATCCCTGTTGCTACCCTGTGGCAAAGATCCATTGAGGGTAGCACCAAGATCTAGGTGGATTTGGAGATGAGGATTGGTCTAGGCAAGGTCCCTCAGATCTCGGATTTCTGTTAGCAGTTAGCAGGCCAACAACATGGCCCCTCCAGAGATCCTTTTAATTGTGCATTCGTGGTGATCTGTGCTCATGACGGCACTGCGGTGGTTATACACTATCCCACTTTCAATGCTCTTTATACCTGCAAAAGACTTTAGCGCTTCATTTCCAACCAGTGCATGTCCCAGAGCTTCGTCCTAAAATCCTGTAACTTTTCATGCCACTTCTGGGGTGAGGGGTGGAAGAGTGCCAGAGTGCTCTTCCGGATGGCAAATAAATAAAGCAACATTGGGGAATCACAACAACTAGGAAAGTGTAAAGTGTGGAGGGTCCAGTATGAATCCACTACTCATGCACTATGGTTCAGTCTTTTGGTGGGCCCTCATATCTGAATACTAAATCTCAGCCTTTCCACCTCAGGTCCAATTATTGCACCGCACCTCCTGTAGTTTCATCAGCTAGGCTCTTCTTTCTATTCATGTGCCTCAGCACAGACAATGTGATGTCATTTCAGCTCTTTCAATTTCCTTAAGATGCCTTTTTCATCCATCTGGCTTGTTCAGCTGCTTGGCTTAACTTTTTAGCTTTGCTCCCAGATGTCTTCATATGGACTAGACAGGTTTGTTTGCTAACAAGTCTACACTGATTCACCGCGGCAAGTTCTGAAGAATCTTGAAGAACCACGTACCAGCCTCTGAGCTGCATGCAGAAGGTTGCAGTTTCAGCCCCCAGCAGCTCCCCCAGGTAGGGCTGGGAGAGGCTTATTGAAGACCATACTGAGCTACATGGACCAATGGTTTGACTCAATATAAGACACCTTCCTATGTTCCTATGTAAGATGAAGCAGTGATTAAAGCTCTAGGATGGAAACCCGAGCTTTAACCTCACACTCAGTTGCCCTCGTGCAAGTGTATCAGAGTCTCAGTTCTTATCAAAAGAATAGGTAGAGCTTGCCAAATTGTCACAGCCATATTGCAAAGGCTATCTGAGTCTGAGCTCCTGTATTCATGCATCCTCCGGCAAAGTGCTGTACCTTAGTGGCCGTGCAATGTTTTGCATGTAAAACACTTGTGTTCAGTCCCAGGTCGAGCCAAAACTCTCATCCTAAATTATGGAAAGTGACTGCCAACCAGCGTAGACCATGAATGAGTAGCCCACTCAACTACTCCCTTCATTTTACAGTCTGTTCCATCCACTGCAAACGTAAGCAGATTTTTGGCAGCACCGAAACATCACAGCATCACGATCCTTTGCAGTAAGTTTAGCCAAGTTTAGCCAATTTTACCGCAAGCGATCCTTGCCAATTCCGCTAAGACATTTATTGATTCACCCTCAGCTGGCTATCCTTTGCTTTGGTCTATATAGCACACCTATGAGAAATATCTGGGGCATTCATTTGAACACTGGTTCCTCCGTGGCTCAAATGGACCAATATTGCTGAGGCTTCGTGGAGCTCAACCATCATAAACGCCACATCCCAATAAGACTCCCAGAGACTTTGGCCCCGTGGAGGCACTGCGCTGAGCAATGAAACCCAGCGGTGCTCAGCGCTAACGATGAGACGGGTGGCCTACAACCCGCTAACCTGGCGGGCAACATCCCCGCACCAATTTGCTTTGAAATGAAGGAGTCACTGAAGGGGTGGAGAGGGAAGGATACACAGCGACAATGGAGCACTCAGCTTAACTAGCATGGCCAATGACTAGGAAAGATGGGAGCTGTAGTCCAACAACACCCAGAGACCCACAGGTTCCTCACCCTGATATCTGCAATGCTGAGTTGGATGGACCAATTGCTCTGGCTCAGCAGAAGACAGCTCCTTAGGTTTTTAGCGGACATGTTTCAGCAATTAAAAGTTAAAAGAGGAGCCATTTTAGTCATTGCCCTTTCTCTGTAGATACTGACAGTGCTAATTGTGTTGATGTTCCTTTCATCTGTGGATACTTCCCAGTAAAGCATCCAGTGTATGTCCCACCCCCCACCCTTCCACAGATGCCTGTTCTTATGAGGTTGCTTCCGAGGACATCAGTGAAAGACACTAGTAGGCAAATGAATAGATTCCCTGTCCGCTGTTATGTTGCATGCATTTCTGTAGGGCATGTAACCAAGTTAATATGGAGCAGGACAAAGAAGGAGCTTGACGGCAATGGATCAAACATTAGAGGATGAATTTCAGTAAGCAAGCAAAAGGGTTTTTGTTTTTTGGGGGAAATCAAATAGTAGCTAAAAGGGCCCAATGTTCATTTTGATGACCATTATCCTAATTCTGGCCCTTAGTTAAGCAAGGATAGGACTGAGCATTTTGATCAGACCAGATAGTTTGGATGCATTCATATGCATGTTTACCCAAGAGTAAGCCTCTTTTTATTCAGTGGGGCTTACTTCCATACAAATGATTGTTCTATTAGGCTACTTATTCCTCCCACTGTTGGGTTACAATAACTCCCATCAGCATCCCTGACTATTGACCATACTGGCTGTGGCTCATGGTAGTTGGATTTCTGCAACATCTGGAATGCTATAACATCTAGAGAGCCACCAGTTCCCCATGCCTGAGGATATCTACTATGCGGACTTTGGTTTCCTTCTTCTCTTCAGTAATGGACACTGGGAGAGGACCCTTGTAGGGATATCCTCACTACAGAAGAATGTGGGGCTGTCAGCAACACCACGGTCTGCAGATGGTAACTGGGGGGAAGAGTGCAAATCCAGGTTTTAAAAAAAATCTGGATACAGCAGCTGTGGGTGAACAGCTGGAAACAGTTGGAGCCAAAAGGGTGAGAGAGGCAGAAGCAGGGCAACACATGTAGTCCAGCTGCTGTTTCCCATTAACTGTTTGCAAGAAGGTAGTTTACAGATGGAAGCTCTTTAAGGAAGAAATAGGAAGATAAATGTGGTAAGAGAACAAGGGTTACGTGAAGCATCTCTCCAAACTGGTGCCAAGGAGGGACACCTTTCCTAAGTGTTGCTGCAGGAGAAAATATATAACACAGAAAGGAGAATTCCTGGATACTAAGTTCCAAGTTTGGGGCAAGTACTCTTTGGTGAGAGAACCCCAGCCGGGATTTAAAATCACAAAATATGTAGCAAAGTATGGAAATATAGGCAGTTAGGCCTCTGAAATAGTTCCTTCCAAAGTTTCCAAGTTCCTTCCAAAGTTTCCCTCTTCCCTAGCATAGAAAAAGACCACATTGGTAAATTAAATTGGTTTACTTACAAACTTTCCAAAGGTCAGATTCATGTGCTTTTCCATACAGAGTTCAGAAAAAGTTGCACAGGCAGTAAAAGTTGGCTTAGTCACAGTGGTGAAAGCTTCAAAATTATTGCTACAGGAACTCAATAAATGCTTGTAAGAGCTCACAGTTGAACTTCTCGGGTAGACTGGAGGTTGAACAAAGGCTTGATTACCACATCCCTCCCAAAGTGAGCTAAGTCTGGCAGGACAGTTTACTCTATAGTGTAACCCCTTCATGTTGGTTATATGAAGCTGGACATGAAATCTCCATTAAAAGGGAAAAGAATCAAGGATGCAGTGTGTGGACTTGGGCAAACCAATCCCAAAGTCCTCATTTGTAAAATGGTAATAAGAGACGTCCACTGCCATGAAGGTTGCAAACGTCAAAGCACCTCCAGAACTGGGAGGCCTCCTGCCTAATCTCTTGCTTGGCCAAGTGGCAGAAGCGGCAAGCAACAATAACAAACCCATATGTTGGCCCTGATCCACTGCAGCCCTTCTTTTCGGAGGGCGCCTGCAAAGAGCTAGAAGAGCCTGGGGAGCCGCTGATGGATGCCCAGGTCCGTAGGAGCCAACGATGACATGCATTTTGGAAATGTACATTTTTTTCCCTTTAAATTTTTTTTGGGCCCTAAGCTATAGCTTGTTTAGTTTATACGTAAATCGGCACTGGGCGCCCCCCCTCCAAGTTTATTGGCATTGCCATTCAAACGGTGATCAGAATGTGATCGATTATGCGGGGCGGGGCTTACCTGCCCCCCCTCCAATATTTCATTCAAGTTGGCAGGCGCCCCTGCCGACCTCTTTGGGAACCCAGAGAAGGCTGGCTTGGCCGAGCGCGCCTTTCGCGCACACGTGTGTGTGTGTGCGCAGAGCGGCGCTCGCTTGCGGAATTCGCCAGGGCTTGAAAGGGCCCTCGGTTTACAATGCTAACTTCCTGTTCCAGCCCGGCTGCCAACATGACCGCAGGCAGGTTCACCCAGAGAGTGTCCGGCGGCGGCAACAGCAGCAGCAGCAGCAGCAGCAGCCGCGCTTCTTGGCCGAGAGGAGATCCCGCCCCGCTGCCGCCTCGGATTGCTGGCGGGCGAATAAAAACGACCCGGGAATCCAGACGCTCTTCCAGGTAGACGAGGCTTTATTTAGAGACTCTTTCCCCCTCCTCTGCTCCTTTCTTTCTTGGCCGCCGCGCGGTTTCCAAACCCAGCCGGGGCGTGGCGTGGTGTCCTTCGCCTGGGTAAATATTTGAGCGCTCGCAGCCAAGGAGGAGGAGAGCCGCTCCGCGAGGCACATGGCGCGGAGACACCGGCGGGAAAGGGCTGCCAGGGAAGCCGCCGCCTCCGCTGCCGCCGCACCCTTTGTGCTCCGGAGTGAAGCCCCTTCGCTTGTTGCAGCACCCTTTACTGTTTGGGCGGGAAACTTCCCCTTCAGGCTGGGAAGAAGGGTGGGCAGAGTTGAGAGGGGGACCTGCCTGAGGAAGAATTCAGACGAGAAAGGAAGCGGTGTGTTGTGTTTTGTTGACAGTCGTCGTCTTCTTCTTCGTTTTAAAGTTTTTTATGTGTGTTACAAAACAAACAGATAAAGGGGGAAAGGTACATCTCTTGTCTCCACTTTCAACCTGTCGTCCTTTCCAGTTTGTTTGCATTTAGTGAGAGACACTTTTTGTCATGGACATCTTGCACTGGGGTAGGAAAAGGGGTGTTGGGGGTCTTCTTGAATTTAGGGTGCAGGGGTTGTGTGTTTGTGTGCCAGGTGGGCTTAGTTGCCCCCTGACAAGAGTATAGGTACTTAATTAATAATATAATGATACAGTGATATCTTGGTTCTCAAACACCTTGGTACTCAAACAACTTGGAACCCAAACACTGCAAACCCAGAAGTAAGTGTTCTGGTTTGCAAACATTTTTTGAAAGCTGAACATGCTCCGTTTTGAGTGTTATGTTTCCGTTTTGAGTGCCACGCTGAGGTGTGTCTGTTTTTGCTATTTATTTTGCATTTTTGTTTTTGCGGCTTTTTTTGTTTTGTTTTCGTGACTGTATGGAACCCACTTCAGCTACTGATGGATTGATTGATTGTGTGACTTCAGTACATTGATTATTGCTTTCATTTTATGGATCAATGGTCTCGTTAGATGGTAAAGTTCATGTTAAATTGCTGTTTTAGGGGTTGTTTTTAAAAGTCTGGAACGGATTAATCCGTGTTACATTACTTTCTATGGGAAAGCATGCTTTGGTTTTGAAACGCTTTGGTTTTGGAACGGACTTCCGGAACAGATTAAGTTTGAGAACAGGTTAAAGTTAATGATAGACTAAGATTAAAGATTAAGATTAAAGATGTTTAAAGAAATGGAAATTTGATATTAAGAGGGAAAATTTTAACGTTATATGATACTGAGACCAAGGATTAGGTTTAAAGAAGTTGAAGTTATATATTTTAATATTTTATCAAATTAAAGATTGGGATTAAAAAAGTGGAAAAGAAACTGCTGGACAAACAATTTGGATTGGAATACAAAAGAGGGAGGTATGAGGAAGTCCAGAAAATAAGTAACTTAAAAATGGAAATGGAAAAGAGATATTGTTTTTAATTGTTATGTTTTTTGTTTTTTTATTGTTGAATTTTGTGTTGTTTTTTGTGTGTGTTGTTGTTATATGTATTGCGTATGTTTTTTTCTCTTTCTTTGTTGTTTAAAACCTTAATAAAAATTATTTAAAAAAAAAAAGAAACAGATGGGGGGGTCCCCAAAGTTGCAAAGAGGAAAAAAAACAAAAAAAAACAAAGTACCACTGTAATTTATTATTTATATGACGCCCAACAAAAAATGGTAAAAGCACACAATGCAGCATCACATACTAAAAACTTCCCCGAACAGAGCAGCCTATAAAAAAAATCACATCACTGTTTATCTGTTTGACGTCATCTGCTGGGAAGGTGTTCCACAGGGTGGGTGCCGCTACCAAAAAGACCCTCTGCCTGGTTCCCTGTAACCTCACATCTCGCAATGAGGAAGGCCTTTGGAGCTGAACCTCAGTGTCCAGGCCGCATGATGGAGGTGGAGACAATCGTTTAGGCCAACTCCTGCCTTTGGTTACCATTAGGCTTCTGTTTCCAGAGCCTGTTGCTTGAGAAGAATAACCCTTTGTGTAGAACGTAACAGCTCTATACAGTACTAGACAACTAGATATGTACTGTACTATATACTATATCTATACTAGATATATTAGATAAAGGAATTATTATTATTATTTGTTGTTATTATTTGTGGAATTCAGAACTATCCCACCAGCGTCCCATTCCCATTGTGCTGTTCTGTAGTGTTCTCCCAAGTCAGTTTCCTGGGGTGCAGGATGTTGGGCTAAACATCTTTCAGAGCTAGTTGACTAATATTTGAAAATACTGATAAACTCTTTTAACTGTGACTTCACTTTTTGTGTTGTACAGAAGGATGACATTCCCCAGTTACTTGTGCAGCACACATGCACTCAATAGCAAACTCAATTGAGTTTAATGGGACTTACTCCCAGGGAAGTATGTGTAGGATCGCAACCTTACTGAATCAATTCAATTTTTCTGAGCATCTGGGTATAGTTGTTCTCTTCCTATTGTGCCTCAGTTCTGGTCCCGACTATCTTAAATTTAAGGGACAAATTGCAGCTGTGTGACAGAGCCTAGGCAAACAGTAGAAGTCTGTGATATGCAATAGGACTTTACACTGTCAGATGGAGGTGTTTTAAATGCTATTATCCAAACAGTGTTCTCGCTCATCTGAAATACTGTATGTACTCAGGCGGCTCATCTCAAAAAGGGTATCGTCAAATTGGAGAGTGTTCAAAGGAGAACCGCAAAAAATGATTAAGGACTGAGAGGAGCTCTCCTGCAAAGAGAGAGATTTGAAAGATCTGGTTTGTTTATTTTAAAGATGAGACAATTTAAAGTGGCAAGGCTAAAGGTCTGTAAAATAATGAATGGTATCAAGAAGGCAGATCAGGAACTATTGCTGTTTCTGTTTTGCAGGATGAGTGTGATATTGAAATGCGAAGATTGCAAAGTCCTAGCAAAGAAAAGGCTTTTCACAGTTAGGGATAATTTAGCCTGTGGAACACTCTAACACTGGATATTGCAAATGTTACAAAAATGGACTAAATGCTTCTAAAGAGTATTGTTTGCAAACCCAGCTGTCTTAATAAGTGAAGGATGGTTCAGCACCACATGCCTGTCAGTTTCAAGATATCATATTCATCTCCGATCCAATAGCTAATACTCTTGACGTAGCATCCATGCAATAATAATGCTCTGACAGTTCATTGATCCAAGAGGTACATAGCCTAGCAGCACCTTATAGGGATGAGTGGAATGTATGGTGCTGCTGTGTCATATATTCGCTAGGCACTTTGATGACATAATCACTTGCCTTCATGCTGATCTTCAATCCAGTCTCTGGTAAGGTATCCAGCACCCTGTCTTATTCACTTCTGTGGAATGAGTTTCATTTATTGAGGCCTGAAGGTGTGGACAAGGTGCTTTTGGCTGTCCATGTCTTACTTGCGCTCTCCTGCCCATCCTGGCTCGTTCGTGCAAGTTGTGGGTGGGAGAGTGGACTGGCTGAATCTAAGAGGAGGTTAATGCATTCTTGCATGAGAAGAAGAAGAGAAGAGTTTGGATTTGATATCTTGTTTTATCACTACCCTAAGGAGTCTCAAAGCGGCTAACAATCTCCTTTCCCTTCCTCCCCCACAACAAACACTCTGTGAGGTGAGTGAGGCTGAGAGACTTCAGAGAAGTGTGACTAGCCCAAGGACACCCAGCAGCAGCATGTGGAGGAGCGGGGAATCAAACTCGGTTCACCAGATTATGAGTCCAGTGCTCTTAACCACTACACCACACTGGCTCTCACCAGTGAGAGGGTGGTCACCATTGCTTTGTTGGAGGTGTGCATCTCTTCCTGGAAAAACCTATCCTGAACGCTGGGGTATTTGACAACTGTTGCCTGATTGCTAATACCCACTTTTTTGGGAAGGTTGTGACACTTTTGGAGTTAACATAATTTGGACCAATTCCAGTCTGGGTTCACGTATAGCTTTGGCACAGAATCGGCTCTGGTTGCCCTCTTCAATGGGGCAACAGGGAGAGTGTGAATCTGTTGCTCCTGTTGGACCTCTCAGTGGCTTTTGATACCATGACCATGGTATTCTCCTGGACTGTCTCCATGGGCTGTGAGTTGGAGGTGCTGTTTTATGGTGGTTCTGCTCCTACCTGCATGGCCAGTCTCAGAGGATAGCATTGGAGGACTATGTGTCCAGATTCTGGCAGGGTATCCCTAGTGGTATATGAAGCCATTAGGAGCAGTCACCAGGAGATTTGTGGCATGGTGTCATCAGTATGCTGATGACACCCAACTCTTATCTCCCAATTAATTCCAAGCCTTGCAGAAGCTGAACCCAGGGCTAGATTCTGTGGTGGGCTGGATGAGGGCCTGAAGCTGAATCCTGTTAAGACAGAGACACTGTGGGTGAGTGGTTTCCAGGTCTGAAGAGCACCTGTCACCCAATATTTTCAGGAATAACTTGGCCACTGTGACTCATATATTGGTAGCCTCACATTTAGACTATTGTAATGCACTTAGTGTAGAGCTTCCCTTATGGGTGGTCCAGAGGATGCAGCTGATGCAGAATGCTGCAACCCAAGTGGTCAGTGGTGCTTTGCATCAAGCACTCCAGTGCTAAGGGGTCTGCACTGTCTGACTGTTATTACCAAGCCAGTTTTAAGGTCCTGCTACTTACTTTACAGAGCTGTAAAGACTTATGGACTAGGATATTTGAAAGACCGCCTTCCCCTCCATTGCCTGATAAAGGCATTCAGATTGACAAATGAAACCCAGTTAGAGTTGCAGTAGTACTATTATTATATATTATTACTATTAATATATATTATATATTATTATTACTAGTACTACTAGTATTATAATGGTCGGTGGTAACATAGAGATGGGCTTTTTGAGGGGTGGTTGCCAGTGTTGGGAAATTCTCTCCCTGTTGAAATACGAGAGGCCCCATCAATATTGGCATTCTGCTGGCTCTAGAAGGCATTCCTCTGATTTCCTGACCTGAACCTCCTGCTTTCATTGTTTTAATTGCTATTTTAACTTTGAATTGTTGTGCTCTTTTATTGGGCTTTTATTGTACTTTTTAACCGTGGATGTTATTTTAACGATGGAATCGTTTTATAATGCATTTTAATTATGTGTGTTGTTTGTAATTGGTTTTATACTTGTAAACCACTTAGGAGCCACTTTGGCAATTAAGCAACATATTAATTAATTAATCAATCATAATAATATATATTGATTCAGCCAAACTCTGTACATTAAAGACATGGGCAAGGATATTGTGTAAGTGAAGCATCAGTCTTTTGTTGGATTCTGACAATCTTTACTTGCCCTGTAACTGGAGACAAGCTACCAAGTGCAAGCCACAAATCTGTTAGTAAGCACCTTCCTTTTACAGAGGATGTCTTGCATCCTCATCATGCTGAGGAAGTTGATTATGTGTCATGCAAGCTAGGAGAATAGCTTCCTATATATGATGCTTTTGTACTATGCCAGCAGCATAGGAAGTATTTCCCTACAACTCTTTGAGTTTCCACATTGCATGAAGTTTTGTGCATTGTTTCCATGCTTGATATGACATCTTCCACTTACACCAATGTGCTCAGGGTACTACAGTGAATTGGCACAGGGACTAAAATGACAGGCAGGTGCTTTGCATAGATCACGCACACTGAATCAGCAGGTCTAAATCCCAACAGCAAACTTTTGTAGGCATGCCATTATAATCCTATTCGTACAGGTAGCTAACAAAAAGTGAGACACTTGGTGTGAGCCCATGCTATAATATTATGGGAATTTGATCAATGCCTTTCTCCCTAGGCTTAAGATTGCCTGGTCATTAATGGGAGGCAATGCAACTAATGTGCAATTTGGCTGCTATAGTGTAAAGTCAGCTTGGAAAGTACCTTGAGTCACAGCCATCTGGAACCAGATTTGCTAAGCATTTTCAAAGGAGGAATATTTGGGAGAGGGACACGTTCCAAAGTTGCTGATGGTGCTTTGCGACGAGCACTGCCTGCTTAGATGCATTTTGCTGTATCCTTTAATTCCTGTTCAATCTGCATATCTGTAAGTAAAGAGACCACTACAAACACATACATGTTCAGTGTACCCCTCTCCAAAGGAAACACCTTAGTAAAGGATGCCCTGAACTTTTCACAACTCCAAATAATATCCTGAGGTTGCTACCCGGTAGATCTATGGCTCAGCTTCTATTTGAATCTCTGCTTTCCCAGTTCTAGTCTGTCAGACAGTCTATTGAACCCAAATGCAATCCTTTGCAACGAAAGCCTGTTTCTGAATCAGGTGGAACTTGGCAACAGAACCCTCCGACATGAACATCAGTGGAACGGTCACTTTCAGAAAAAGGTACCCTGAAAAGAAATCCGGTCAACCACAGATAGGTGTGCTGACGTCTTGTTTTGGCTGCATCAATTCTCCACGGTGCACGCCGAGTGCCGTTCCTCCTAGCAAAACGATCTGTGCAAGTGGAGCAGAGATTTACAGCGGCTGACAACCGGCCCCTTCCACTCCTACTTGTAACACAGTGTTCCCATCGATCCTTCCCCAGACACTGACACTCTCAAAATGGAATGAGCGGCTTGTTCCCATTGGCAGTGGGGAAGGATTCTTCAATATTCCGCTGAGCAACAAGACAGCAGCAAGCAACAGTAGCAGCAGCAGCCAACCGCAGCAGCAGCAGCAGCAGCAGTCTCCGGCCCTCTGCAGCAGCCCAGCCCGTGTGCCAACACCACATCACAAGCTCCACAATCCACCACGCCCCTCAGCAGCCACCACAATTGCTGTGACATCCAAACTGCCTCCAGCCATGGCAACATGCCACCTGCTATAGCATCTCTTACTTGCTGTTACGCCTCACTGTGACTTTCACCACCACACCACACCACACGCTGCAGAAACCCATTGCCGCCACACAGGCAGAACAGTAGCATGTTTCAGAAGAAAGAAGAGTCTGGCTGGGACTCATTCATCTATGGGAACGTAATTTTAGAAAATGAAATTGTATCAATTTTTAATCTTGGAGACTGAGGAAGGGGCGAGAGAGAATCCAGTGCTGCCAGCTTCAGTGGTTTTTTGGAGTTTTTTTTTAAACCCATAACAAATCACAAGCCAAATGCTTAGACCAGCTGAAAAGATCTTTCATTCCCCTCCCCCTCCAGAAAATTGTATTCTTTGGACTGCAAGCTGTAATCTTTTTAATTTTTAGAATGCACAATGAAAGCTTTAGCTGATTAATTAGTGGGGGCAATTTTGATCAGTAGGCTTAAATATATATATATATATATATATATATATATATATATATATATACTATATATGTGCTTTGGCTCTGATATGATATGATGCCATAGCAGGGACAATATTAGCTGAGGCCTTCTAACAGTAAATGATAGATTTCTTTATTAAACTATAAGTTATATTTTGCTCCCTCCTGTATTTCAGAAAGGGTACCCATATTGAGGTTTAGGAACTTACATATTTATTTAAATTTATTTAAATACGAATTAAGTAAGAATTACTACCAGGTAAAGTATGCATAGAATTTGTTTAGGAATCACTTCCCATAAAACATAAACGATTTAACAATAAAAACACATATAAAAATTATTTCAATTTTGGCACAGACACAGATTGAGAAAAGCAAAAAATCCACTTAAAGGACTTGTTGGAAAAGGAAGGTCAAATAAATAACTTCCTGGACATATAGGTTGTCCATCAAAACGGAGCTCAAAGCTGTTTCTAAATGTTAAATAAACAATCAGTAAAGCACAGTTAAATAATAATACTTAAAACAACTAAAATTTATACAAACCTCAACAAACAATGAAATGAAGTGCTGGCAATTCATAATGATTGATTAATTGGTGAATGGTTAATTTATTGGTTGATTAAATAAAAGGAAGATTGTTAATCAACTTTAAACTCCTTTAATTTGGTGACAGCAATAAGCATTTTGTACTGGTTTATTGCAAAAATTCACAGCCTCTTCTGCGCTAATGGGAGGAGGGACTCAAGTCTAACTGGAAGTTGTGCAGCCATCTGACCTGGGAGCTCAGTGATCCCTGATCCCTGCTGTGGAAGGCTTGCTTCAGTTACTGAGGGGGATGAAGCAAATGCACTCTCCCCATGCTCAGTGGCACTCTTAATATTCACTTGGGAAACATGTTTTAAAGCCTGTTGACATTGGAAATCTGGCATTGGAAAACACATAGATATAAAGCAATTCAGGCTGCAGTATGAGGCTTTGTGCTTCAAGCCCTGATCATGAGAGACATATGGCTGCTTAATTTCTTTGACAAACAGAACTCAGTCCATTTGGATTCAAATCTGCAAGCATCCAGGAAGACGAGGAAGAAGCTCTGGCAAGCCCTTATGTTTTGTTCAACTCTTGCAAGGCCATAGTTGCAAGGCCAAAACTATTGCTCTTGAGATCTCTGGGGAAAGGCCAAGGTAGTAAGAATGCACTGGCCTAAGGGGACACAAAATGTAAAAAAAAAAAAAAGGATAGGAGAAGAAGGTGGGTCATCCCAAAGTGTGGGGGCCAGTGCAGCCACCCCTATTCACCACCCCACAACTCTGCAGGGACAACTCTGATATTGGCCACCAAAAACATGGGTTCTTATCACTCTCATTCCTAGCCCAATCAAGACACATTCTCTTATTTATTGTATATGTTTTTGACTGTAGTTCTGTATACCACTTAGATATTTTTAGATGTGGACACATTCTAATATTATAGAGCTTTGCTACAGTCAAAGGGAGTAGCAGTGCTGGTGTGTTGCCACATTCAGTTTTAAATTTTAAAGGGTGGGAAGATGTGAGGTTGCCTCGTACAGAGTCAGACCATAGGTTCCATCTAATTCAATATTGTCAATGAAATGGCTGACAATGGCACTGTGGGGTTTTGGGTAGGGAGACACTACCTGGAGATGCTGTGAAGTGAAGAATGTGCTCTATCCACTGAGCTTCAGCTGTTCCCAAGGATGCATGAGTGCTCCTGTGATTGAGCTGCAGAGTGGGGTGTGGGATTAAACACCCACCCACCAATAAAAAATACAATAAAACATAAAATACTGACAAATTGTGAGCATTGGGGAATCTGTCTTGCTTGTTGCACTTGTTGAACCTCACTCTGCACAACATAAACTGCTACGATTAATGTGTGTTTTGTGGTAGGCGGGAAGACCATTGCATCTTCCCAGCTACCAAGTATTGTAAGTGAATGCTAGGGAAGTGCAGGTTGCCTGCTGCAGAAGTGCTCGCTTGAGGGAAGATGGTTTGGATTCCATGCAATGAACTGACTAACCATGGTGGAAAGGGCTGCGTGCTAAACACTGCTTGGAAAGACCTTCTCAGAGAGCATCCAAGGTTGTTGCCCAAATGAGCTTGGTGCAGAATGTTTTTGTATCCGAATGTTTCGGTCATGGTTTGCCGCTTCTAAGCTGAAGTCACCCCATAGGGCTTGCCAACAAGGCAAATGTGAGCCTTCTTTCCTCATGGTTTCAGGCCTCAGACCATAGCTGTCAACCTTCCCTTTTTTGGTGGGAAATTCCCTTATTCTAGCACCGTTTCCCGCTGCTTCCTGCTGCTATCCCGGATTGTTAGATATCCCGTAGACTGTCCCCGGGACAGGTGAGGCTGCTGATCCCTTATTTTTGAGGCTGCTGATCCCTTATTTTCAAATCTGAAAGTTGACAGCTATGCCTCAGACCCATGGCTCAGCCTTCGGCATCTGGATGCCATCAGAAGCATGGAAGAGGCAGAGTCAAGAAATTGGGAGGACAGGGGCTTAGATTGCTGGAGCAAGCTGCCCAAACCAAACCTTGACAGCAGTCAAACAACCAGGGTGTTTTCCCCACCAGCCTGAAGTCAATTCTGGCACCTCTCAGGTGGGCGCCATTGCCATTCTAAGAGAACAAGGGAGGTGTTCATGGTGAGTTCTTTTTGCTGCCACTCTTTCCCTTATTTTGCTTACAAAAATAGCACTGCAAACAACCAAGGCCCAATCCTAATAGGGGAACTAGCCAACCAGGCTCTTCTGGTACTGTCTTATGTTAGTTGTTAGCTTATCAGAGCTGTGACATCTCTCTCAGTCTCCAATTCTGCTGAGCCGATTTCTGACACTCTCTCTGTTACAGCCTGCAAACACGCAAGATGGGTGCCTATGAGAGAGACAACTCCCTCATAAAAGGTGGCATATACTTCAGCTTCATCACTAGGCAGCGTTGGAAAGCTGAGGATGGGGAGGGGGAACAGGATAAAGGAGAGCTGGGTTCTCCTGTTAGTCAGCACTCTATAAACAACACAAATGAGCCTACACGATAGAGGAAAAGCCCAGCTCCACAACTGATCGCTTCTTCCCCTGGTAGCCACAGAGAAACTGACAACAGGGAGGCCCTGTTGCTGGAGAGAAGAGAAAGCAGCCCAATGGCTGACCTCAAAGTCTGACACCCACACCCCTTGTCTTGGGGGGGGGGTTAAGTCCATGACAATCTTCTGACATGTTTGACAATGAAAGGCAGCCCTTGCCAGGTCAACCCCGAAGGAGGCGACCTGTGACCCAGCATGCGGTTGCATCTCATTAAAAACATATATTTCCATTTCTGTATCGACGGGCTCACAAGGTGTCATTAAGGAAATATTGCAGCCCTAGGGCCATGGCGTCAGCTAGCAGTTGCCAGCGCATCGGTGCAGACTGTCGAGTAAACACAGCAGTGATGGTGCAGGGACAAAGTCTCTGGGCTTGCAAGGACCAGCGGCTGCTCCAGATTGGTTCAGCAGGCACAGGATGGACAGGAGGGAGAGATTTGCTAGAAGAACCCGATGAAAGATTACACTTTGTTTGGTGCAAGAGGCCTGTTTAATCAATTCCAGAGGACTTGGCGGCTGGCAGCAGAGCTGCTTACCTGGCCAGAGGAAAGATCAGCATTTGGCAAGGTCAAATAATGGTCAAGCTCTCTTAGCTCTTGATAGAGGAAAGCAATGTCTCTTAGTGAAGCCCGATGCTATCCGTAGGTAGTTTTTAAAACTGCCTTCCTCTATGTGGTCACCCCCATATGTTTTGGTCTTCAACTCCCACCAGTGCCAACCAGGTTGGAGAAGGCTATCTCAAATTACGGCAGATGTTCTCTCTTAGTCACCTCACCCATTGGCTTGATTTGTATTGATTTGTCACTGCTGCGATCCCTGAACCTTCCCAATTTCCACTGCTAGGCCCATCCCACGTGGTCCTCCAAGGTTGCTCAGTTCATCATCTGTCTTGAAGCATTTTGTTCTAAACCAGTGCATTATTTGCTGCAGTTGCAATTGCCTGTCTAGAAAGAGGAATAGTACTTCTCCTTCTTCTATGCTTGCGAATCCGACATGAGCTTCAAAGAGCATTTGCCCCTTTTAAACCAATCCAAATGTTGTGAGTGCTCCAAAACCTTATGAATCCAACTAAGAAAAGAATGTACTCCACAGCCAGATAATGAAATCTAATTGCTATAAAAGTCCTAGCTTTATGCTACCGTTAACACATTCTTTGAGACCAATTATGTTTCTGTCCTATGGTGTCAACCTTTTACGCTACTTTTTAATGTCTTGGACTTGAAGCACCATTCCCAACAATTGACCCTCTCCTGTTATTTGGAATCCAATATTAATTTGGAAAATTCTCTCTCTCCACCACCCCGGAATCTTTTCCTCCAGTTGACACAATTTTTTTGGCAAAGGGAGACATTGGGATTGAGGTTCCCCTATACACATAGTTTAGTCCTTTGTGCTCTTAACATTGAAGCAAGTGGAATATATGACTCCAAGAGGAAGTCCTCTTTCTGCCCCAAGAGCAGCCTTGAGTGATGTGAATCAAGGGGCTGGATTTCTATCAGCAAGAACTGTTTCCTCCTCCTGCAATTAAAATCACTTGAATTTGGCCTTCAGGAATATAGAGGAAGGGGAAATCCTGTCTTAGGAGTTAGCAAGTGAAGCAACAGACAGCCTAGATGAGAGGCTTTGTAATCTGTGGCTGGAAACAAATTTTGGCTCTGGGCAAATTGGATAACTTTGGAATTGAATTAGACACTCTTACCAGGTGCTCAGAATCAAATGAAGAGAAGGCAAGTGGTTTCTTTCCCTTACGAATAGCCTTTTCGTTCCTGAGTTCTTCACCATGGAATCTGCTTATCAGGAGACTTAGGACTCAGCTACATTAGTCAAAAAAATAGTGTTTTGAATATGTTATAAACATGCAACACCAGATGGTACTGTAGAGCAGAAAACTTTTCTATGCAATTTTACATAGCGTTCCCCCCCTTTCTTTATAACAATTTAATTTCTTGATTATTTTTAGCATTGTTTTTCCCTCTGTGTGTAGATCCACCCTGAGTCTTCCTGTCCTTGATAAAGGCATCTCTCAACTATATTTTACAGACTGTTTTCTTTGGCAGGGGGAGGGGAGCAAATAACACTGAACTCCTAAGAATGTATAGATAATATATTTTACTGGTTGGTTTTCAAATCTCTGTGAGATATACATTGTCCTTGTTTTCACATAACGGTAAATAGTGGTTTATTAAACTATGGTTTATTAAACCATGGCTAGGTGTTATGACTGAACCCTGCCCAGTAACTTAGATATGTTTTGTTCACTGCCAACAAACCATGATCTAAAGCCATGGTTTGTTGCTGTCTTGTGAATCTTGGTTTGTTTTAAATATGGCTTGGTGTTACATACAAATCCAACAGCCTTCCTTAACCATGGTTTGTTTGGCCAACCCACCCCAGACTTTCATCGTGCTTCAAAGACATGAAACAAGAGCAGCTGGGAAACAAATCAAACTTTGGAGAACCAAGCCATGGTTTGTCTAATCAACTGTGTGACAATTTGGGGTTAACTGGTCCTCTCCCTGCCCCTGTAATAAAAGCTTGAGAAGCTAGTGGGGCCATGCCAGGAACACCTTCAGCTGCTTTATTTCTGCATATAGGGAACAGGACCCAAAAGGTGATTATCCTATATCTTACATCCTAAACTGAACATGTCTTGACTCAACATTGGGACTTGAAGGTTTCTATTTTCTTTTTAACTGAGAGTCTTGAATTAATATTGTGATTTTAAAGAACTGTAGGATTCGTTCCCAAGGGGTGGCAGCATTAAAACCATGTGCTTCTCCTCCAGTATAGTGTTCCTTGAATCCAGTAGCAAGGAAGCAAAAAATAAAAATTGCCCCCTCCTGCCCACTCTCTTTTTTTGCTAGCACTGCTGGGTTTGTGCATTTATTTCCATGGTTTTACTTACAGAGGCTTCCTGTTGGCAGACTGTTCTGCTACAGCAGCCGAAATGCAACAACCTGAGCAAAGTCCCTAGAGTAGGGTACGCACTTCGTGCAGCTGCCTATCACTGCAGCGTGTCTAAAGCAAAGCTAATATATGAAATAATTCTCTGTAGAATTGAGCCTGTAAGTTAACTGCTGTTTGAAATGAGTCCTTTTGCTAAAAAGGTGAAGGGCAATGTAATTTTTGCCATTACAGGCAAAGTCTGACTCCTGTGTTTGACTTTTCAAATCCCCTTCAGAGCTCTAGAATGGTCTGTTTGTCAAACTGAGAGCTCAACCTCGCTCTGCCAACTCCCAGTCATATATGGAAATTCACTTCCAGTGGGATGGGGCTTCCTGATCCACGTAAGGGTCACTTCCTTTAATCTGGACCCAGAGGACCTTCTAAGCAACTCCAGAGAGAATGACACGTGGCTTTCCTTAATTTTTCCCTAAGGCTGTGCTCATGACAGGCAGGTTTAACATGCACACACACACACACACACACATTTTATGTTCTAGTGCAGACCTAAGACTCCTACATGTGTCCACTTAAGGCACATTTCTCTCATTATACTGCAGCAAATCTGGGTTTGTTAGCAAGCAGGAGCCACAACCAATCATTTGCCCCTCTCCCTATTGTGATCAACACGTTTCCAAACCAGATGTTTGTCCCTTTTGCACACTTCAGTTTCAGGCGTGCAATTAAATTCACTGTGTTTGCCAAAAATATGTTAACGTGTGAACAGTAGCGTAGCATGGGCTGCCAGTGCCCGGGGCTGTGCGGAGGGATGGGAGGGAGGGAAACTGATGGAGTACATATGCACATTCAACTGCAAAATAGTGTCTGCGTCACCCAAGAGATCACAGCTGCAGAGGTAAAAAAGAAGAAGAGCCATTCTGTTGTCTGGAGAGGTCACTTCCTGGTTTGCACGGGGAAGCCATTTTCAGCAACGGAAGCATGCAGCTGTATTGAGGCAGCCCCGGGTGTTGAAATGTTGTGTCCCTAACAATTTTGCGACTGGGGCAACCACCCCTGTGGCTCCGCCCCCGCAACAGTATGCCAGTGTGTGTGAAATGTCCAAAGAGGTTGAAAGCAACTTGCATCTCAATCCACTTCAGGGAAGGGCTGATTCCCACAAACTGAACATAAGAAGAGCCTGCTGGATCAGACCAACCAGATGCCTATGGGAAACCCGCAAGCAGGATTCGAGCGCAGGAGCACTGCTTGTACATGCATCTCATCATTGTGATCACACAGCCAGCTTGTGATTAGATGGGGAAGGGTGAGTTGACACAAGATGTAAAAATAAATAAATTACAAATTCTATTTATAGTCAAAAGAATTGCCACTCTGCCCAAGGTGAAAGTGAATAAAAAATAGAGGAAAGGCACATCAGGTTTAATTTAGAATTCAACCACCCTGAATTAGGGCATAATAAACAACGCCAAATTCATGTTCTGTTATCAGGCAGGCAGGGGAGAGACATTGTCTTGGGGGTTTACTCCCAAGTAAGTGAGTCTAGCATTGCAGCCAGGAACACCATCCTATATGAAGTGAATCCCATTGGATTTGATAGGGCTTACTCCCAGGCAAATGTGCACAAGACAGTGCAACCCTCTACAGCCTCAACCAGAGCCAGGGCCTTTTCAATACTGGCTCCGGCCTGGTGGAACGCTCTGTTTCATGAGACCAGGGCCCTGCAGGATCTGATTTCTTTCCGCGGGGCCTGTAAGACAGAGTTGTTCCGCCTGTCCTTTGGCTTAGAATCAACTTGATCCCATCCCCCTCTTTCCATTTTTCCTTTCTCCTTCTGTGATGGAACTCCTATTTGGGGACTTCCCTGGCTTTTTTCTGGCCCACGTAGGACCAGTCTGGATAGTTGGCCTTGGTGAAGACTTGATGTTTTCATCCCCCAAAAAGTTTTTGATTTGAGTTCCTACTGAAATGAGGCCACATTTTAATGTTGTATTTTAATCTTGTTTTTAAGTTGTATCTCAATCAATTGTTTTTATATCTTGTGTTAGCCTCCCTGAGCCCAGTCTTGGCTGAGGAGGGCAGGGTATAAATAAAATTTATTAATATTATTATTATTATTATTATTATTATTACATGCTAGCTTGGAAGTAAGTTCCATTAAATTCAGCGTGGTTTACACCCTGGTTTGTGTATAGGAATGCAGCCTTTGCACTTGGGAGCTTCAGAAGCCAAGCCAGCTCTGAAGCAAATCTAGCAGGCCATTTCCTGTGGCTTCTGCCTTTGATAGCCAGACTGCAGTGCGTTCTTCTCCCCTCTGATCCGTTGAGGAAAGGGGTCCTGCCCAGGGAGTGTTGTGTCATTCTACCTAAATAATATCTCAGCCCTATGAAACACACAGGGAGCTGCTAGCCTATTCTGTGTAGGCTTTGCAAGTAGATGGTGTTAGTGAAGTGGAGGAAGGGGGCTTGGGAGGTACTAAAATGTGAAAAGAGCAAGGGGGTGGGGAGAGGGGAGAGACAAAGCCCCTGTGTCAGCACTTTGTCTTTCACTGGGAGTAGGGGCAAAAACTGCCCTTGAGACTGAAAGCAGAGTGGGGAGGGGGTTCTGGAATTGCCCCGTGGCAATGGGAAGAAAAGGCCTTCTGTTTAGTCGCTGAACAAGTGGGGGGAGCTTTTGATGTTGGGGAAGATAATTAATGTCACAAATGTCTGCAGTGATGATAATAAATGCAGATGGAGAGGTAGACAGCAGAATCTGGAGTCCAGCAACTATAATCCCCCGAGGGGCATCCCACCCACTGGAGCAACCACTCAAGCCACATTCTTCTGACAGCACACACACACACACACACACACACACACACACACACACACTCATTCCCCTCCTGTTGGAACCCCTCCCTCAGTATCTCCCACCTTCAAAACAAAAGTTTCTCTTACTCTCACTCTTGTTTCTGCTTGGCTCCTGTTCCTCATTCCACTGGCAGCGTGTACTCAAAGATCCTGCTCTCAAGATGATGTATATTTTTGAGAAGCTCTTCCCCTTAGTTAAGAAAGTCCCAGCTGAATCACAAAAGTATTGGGGTGTGACACACATATAACTTTCCAAGAGTGCTGAGTATACTCTGCTGCTGCTGCTGCTGATAATAATAATAATAATAATAATAATAATAATAATAATGCACAAAGGTATCCCAAATGAAAGATGAAATGTTGCGATCAACGTAATTTAAGCACCTTTGTTTATTTTGGTTCTGCTGATCATAAAGAGAGCAGGTGGTTCCAGCCACTTGGGGACTTGTGAGCACCTTTTCAAAGCGGATAAAGTATTGTGGGCACCACAAACACAAGCCCTGCAACATGCTCTATTGACTACAGCAGAAGGGTTCTCTCAAGCCTAATTTTAGGGGTGGGCACCCTGAAGGCTTCTGAAGGGTACACAGACACTACCTTGGGGCCCCCATACCACTGTTTGGCTGCTGGGTATCCTTTTTAAATACCTCCCCATCTCCCAAGCTTCTACGATTCTACCCACAATTCCCCACACATTCTGAATTCTGTCGACACAGACCTAGACAAGGTCTAGACAAGGGAGTGAGAAAGCTTCTTCAGTTTGATGGCCACTTTCCCTTTAGGACAACCTTCTGATGGCAACATGGCAGTGGTGGGCGATTCCAGAGGCAGAAGCAGGCAGAGCAGCAAATGCACATTTCTGTCGTTCTATAGGAGGTCACTTCCTACACACATTCACAAATCCACCTCTGCCCTCTGTCCAGGCAAACAAGAGGCATTGACAAGAGTCCAAGGACAAATTCTAGCCAGGCAAAAACATTTGGGGTGGAAAACAGAGTGTGGCCTGGGGAGAGTTCCAAGGGCCAGGTAGTGAGGCCGGTGTGTGTGTGTGTGTGTGTGTGCACGCACATTTGCCCCCTAGCCATGAGATTTCCAACCTAGAAGCTTGCACTTTAGATGGGGGATGGTGGGGTGGAACCTGAGTGTCTCAGGTTGCAGAAGAGTGTTACCCAATATTAATTTCTTTTGTGCTTCCACAGAGTAATACTGTGGAAGACGTAACCTTGAGTTTACTGCTTTACGCTGTTCCTTTTATGTGCATCCATGCGACATCCCTGTGATACACATGCTTCCCATTTCATAGATAAAGAATGAATTTTGGGATTCAGTGATTTACTCAAGTCCCGTTAGGAAAGATCTTTATCCACTGAACCTCCAGGGATGCTTCCACACTAGATGTTTCTTGCCTCGCTATGGTACTTACTTCTAAGTAGACATGTATAGGATCGCACCACTAATAGTGCTTGAGGAGGCCTAGCCCTCCTTCAACTTTTCTCTAATCCTTCACTTTGACTGGAGTTGCAGATTCTCTGCAGGCGAAGAGGAAACCATATAACTCATCTTGTTCCCAGGTTGCACTTCTAAGTGCTACTTTGCTTTCTGTCTGGAACAAATGGACCTCTTTGTACTCTGCTGGGTTCATTCTAATAGATTAGGAAGATGCCTGCCATTATGGGGTTTGGGTGTGTGTGTATAAGTAAGTCATCCACTGTATGGGAAGGATGGTAAATTGCCAGGCCTTGCAGCAGGGTCCATTGCCATTGCACCTCTTCCTCAATGAGGATTGGATTCCATTTTGTCCTCATTATAAACCAATATAAAAATATAAAAAGGTAAAGGGACCCCTGACCATTAGGTTCAGTCGTGACCGACTCTGGGGTTGCAGTGCTCATCTCGCTTTATTGGCCGAGGGAGCTGGTGTACAGCTTCCGGGTCATGTGGCCAGCATGACTAAGCTGCTTCTGGCGAACCAGAGCAGCGCACGGAAACGCCGTTTACCTTCCCGCCAGAGCGGTACCTATTTATCTACTTGCACTTTGACGTGCTTTCGAACTGCTAGGTTGGCAGGAGCAGGGACCGAGCAACGGGAGCTCACCCTGTCGTGGGGATTCGAACCGCCGACCTTCTGATCGGCAAGTCCTAGGCTCTGTGGTTTAACCCACATCGCCAACAATATACCAGAGTGCAAAGTTTTACTTCTCTGCAGCCAACAAATGGCAGCTGTTCATTTAGTGGGAGAAAGTAAAGGGATGCTCTGAGAGACAATTTAGGGGTGGGGGCTAAACCTGCTCCCTGCTCCTGGTGATATCAATGGCACCGGCAATTAAGATCGAAGCACTGCTTTAGACTCTCTCTTGTTCTTGGTCACAGTAGAGCGTGACAGAATGCTTGCTCACAAGTTCCATGGAATGCAGATACAAGCTGTCTCTACACATGTTCAAGTGTTTGTTTGATTTGCTTGTACACTTGCTGATTTGCACAGCTCATCCTATGCGAACACAGACTGTACACTCCTGGACTGTTACATGTGAATAATTGTAGAAGCGTACAGCTCAACTGTTTGTGTACACACACGACATACTCACTCGGTGCCATGTGCACACACCCCTACTGTGTTGGGAAGTGGGTGTTCCATAGCTAGATGGCCTTCCAATGGAAAAGCATAGCCTACTCCTGAGATTGCAGGTGCAAAGCAGCCCCAGTGATTTCACAAGCAAAACAAAAGAGAGAGGGAAAACCTGACCCAAGTCACCAAAGAGGACAAAGATAGCAATAAACTTGTCACATGGCCACCTTTTAATTGTCCTCCTGTTTTGCTTTGCCTCTAAGCGCCTCCAATGAAGCTCCAATTTAATGGCGCTCCAGCGTTACTCAATGCGCAGAGACTTTTCCGACTGCAGGCGTTTCGAAGTGTCATATATGCAAATGTGAAATAGTCCCCTTTTCCTCCCTCTGGGAGAGGTGTAGCCAGTCAAGTGCTTAAGCTGCTGCCTCTCCTACACTAATCATAGCAATTCAGGCTAGCTAACCACAGCCTGACCGTTGTTCTCTCATCTATTTTTGCTCTGGTCTTCCAGAACAACCTCTTACCAACTTCCTCAATCAGCACAGCTAAACAGTGTTTGCCACCCACTGGCAAGTGAAGAACCATTTTGGAGTGCGGAGGGGGTTGGGGGGGAACCTTCCTGTCTCAAAGCTCTTAACCTGCTGTTTCCCAGCAACCTTCCATCTCTCTGGAAGACTTGGCGCATGCCTCCCTCTCTCTGAATGCTTGTGCCTGGATCTGATTCTCTCTCCTGTCTCAAAGTGTGAGGTAGATCTCCTGAGAAATATGCAAGCCACGAATCTTCTCTGTGGAAGCGCAAAAGTATAGGCTGCCACTCGATGATCTGGAAATTACTTATACAGTGGACGCTCGGGTTGCAAATGTGATCCATGTGGGATGCGCGTTCGCAACCCGCGTCTGCGCATGCGCAGGTTGCGATTTGGTGCTTCTGCACATGCGCAAAGCGCGATTTAGTGCTTCTGCACATGCGTGACCTCCAAAACCTGGAAGTAACCCGTTCCGGTACTTCTGGGTTTTGGCCGTCCGTAACCCGAAAAAACACAACCTGAAGCGGCTGTAACCCGAGGTATGACTATATTTGTTTAGTGGCGGTTATACAGCACCATCAATTTGTAGGACTCCTGATCAGTGCTTTTCTTCTAGAGAAAAAAAGGGTGCTGGTACTTGCCATGAATTTGTTGCAATGAGTGCCACACTTTTAACCAGTGTTTTAATTCTAGGGGGAAAAGGTGCCAGTACAGTGGTACCTTGGGTTACATACGCTTCAGGTTACATACGCTTCAGGTTACAGACTCCGCTAACCCAGAAATAATACCTCGGGTTAAGAACTTTGCTTCAGGATGAGAACAGAAATCGTGCTCCAACAGCGCGGCGGCAGCGGGAGGCCCCATTAGCTAAAGTGGTGCTTCAGGTTAAGAACAGTTTCAGGCTAAGAACAGACCTCTGGAACGAATTAAGTACTTAACCTGAGGTACCACTGTATTGCATACCCTCGAGTTTCCCCCAGAAAAAAGCACTGCACTTTAGTATAAGAGAGCAAGTCTCTATCCAGACATCTAACAATCTATAAATTGATAGGCAGGAGGCAGCAGAAGAAATGGAGACAAGAGCAAATGGCGAAAATGTGTGCTATTTTAGTCACAGGTACTTAGGCCTTCTCACTTTAGGTCAAAGAAAGAAAACCTGCAGTCCTCTAGATGTTACTGGACTACAAAGCCCATCTTCCCTGCCCACTGGCCATCCAACAACATTGGGGGGGGGGCAAAGACTCACTAGCCTTCGCATGAGGGCCGAGGGGCTGTACCAAAGGCTTTATGGAAAAAGGATTCTAAGGATGGACTTGAAGGAAAGAAGAGGCATCGCTCATGTTTAGTACAGTGCAGTTTCAAGTACAAGGAACATCAAGGACAAAATGGTGGAGTTGTGGAAGAGATCAGGAGCACTTTGAGTGACCGAGGACAGTGATGCTGGAAGAGTGAAGGTCATGGTCAGGGATGTGTTTTGATATAAGAGCAGAGGGATGCAGGAAGCGAGGTCATGTAGGACTTGGAAGGTAAGGGACCTTCTGCTAGATCTGGGAGTGGATGTGAAGCCAGTGTAGGAAATTTAAGGATTTAAACTGTGTCCTTTACAATCTAATTTGTGTGCTCATTCTCACAATACATTGTTCCGGGATGAAGGAGGGAAGGTATGTGGGGAGAAAACCTATTACTTGGGCAAATGCTTCGGCCTGCAGAAGACACTTCGGATTCCTCACACCAAAAATGTAATCTAATAAATCGTTAAAGAAATAATAGTTGCCTCCAGGAGATTCCTTGCCACTCCACAATCTATACTAGTGTGTTTTGGAAAGTTGTGACAGTGTGTGTGTTTAAAACATGTGTGCCCCCCCCCCCATCCAACCCTCTAGATCAGGGGTCAGCAAACTTTTTCAGCAGAGGGCCGGTCCACTGTCCCTCAAATCTTGTGGGGGGCCAGACTATAATTTTTTGGGGGGAGGGAAATGAACAAATTCCTATGCCCCACAAATAACCCAGAGATGCATTTTAAATAAAAGGGCACATTCTACTCATGTAAAAACACACTGATTCCTGGACCGTTCATGGGCCAGATTGAGAAGGCGATTGGGCCGGATCCGGTCCCCAGGCCTTAGTTTGCCTACCCATTCTCTAGATGTTATTGGACTCCAGATAGTCAGGGATGATGGATATTGTAGTCCAGCCACCTCCAGAAGGATACAGGTTCGCTACCCTTGATTTTTGTTCTTTTCTTTTTTTAAAGGAAACATTTTTTAAAAAACTTTTTGGAACATCCTCAGACTAGGGGATGTTCAGCTGACACATGATCATCACTCATTGAAATGATTCTGTGGATTTGCCCTTAGCTTCAAATAAAAAGAGCCCCTGAATTAGTCTGCGGGGACCCTAAACTCAAGGAGGGTGTTGACAAGCTGGAAAGGCTTCGGGGGATAGCTGCAAAGATGATAAAGGGTCTAGATAAAAGGTTCATGTGAGAAAGGTCTGAAGGAACTGGCTACGCTTAACCTAGAGAAACAAAGATTAAAGGGAAGGCTAGGCAGGTCATTTTTACCTATCAGCATGCCTCTCAGAAAGAAAAGGTGGAGATTCTGTTGCCTGCATCCACTGTGGGTGGAACATTTCAAAGCAATAGCTAGTAGTGCATTTAGGATCTTTTGCATTTCCAGCTTATTGCACAATAAATCCACATTGGTTAGGACTGTCCCCCCCACGCAGGTGCAAATCAAGGCTGGTCACCAAGTGTGCAACAAAGCGTAGATTTCTGGCTACTGTATACCTGTGTCATAAGGGACACGGGTGGCGCTGGGGTCTAAACCACTGAGCCTCTTGGGCTTGCCAATCATAAGGTTGGCGGTTCGATTCCCCCAACGGGGTGAGCTCCCGTTGCTCTGTCCCAGCTCCTGACAACCTAGCAGTTCGAAAGCACACCAATGCATATTGATAAATAGGTACCGCTGCGATGGGAAGGTAAACAGTGTTTTCGTGCGCTCTGGTTTCCATCACGGTGTTCCGATGCGCCAGAAGCGGTTTAGTCATGCTGGCCACATGGAAAGCTGTCAGTGGACAAATGCCGGCTCCCTTGGCCTCAAGCGAGACAGGTGCTGCAACCCCATAGTCACCTTTGACTGGACTTAACCGTCCAGGGGTCTTTTACCCTTTTTACCTTTCCCCTATACCTATGTCACAGGCATTTCTGAACATCTGTTGGCCACATTCGAAGTTTTCATGTTTAGGCCTATACCTGAAGGAGCGTCTCCACCTCCATCGTTCTGCCCGGACACAGAGGTCCAGCGCCGAGGGCCTTCTGGTGGTTCCCTCGCTGCAAGAAGCCAAGTTACAGGGAACCAGGCAGAAGGCCTTCTCGGTAATGGCACCCGCCATGTGGAACGCCCTCCCACCAGATGTCAAAGAGAAAAATAACTACCAAACTTTTAGAAGACATCCGAAGGCAGCCCTGTTTAGGGAAGCTTTTAATGTTTAATAGGTTATTGTATTTTAGTGTTTTGTTGGAAGCCGCCCAGAGTGGCTGGGGAAACCCAGCCAGATGGGCGGGGTATAAATAATAAATTATTATTATTATTATTATTATTATTATATAGGTGGACATCATAAACAAGACCGAAAAATTTCCCAAGTATGTGCCTGCTTGTTTATATGAATGTCCTTCCTATGCTCACCAATTCTGTTGAGCAAATGACTGCATGGAGGAGAGAGCAATCTATGACTGCTAGCCGTGATGGCTGTACCCTACCACCAAATTCCAGTTGCTGGAAATTATAAGAGGGGGCAGTGCTCTTGTGTTCATGCTCTGCCCCCTCATTTCCTGTAAGCATCAGGTTGGCCACTGTGAGAACTAGGCAGACCAATTCTATGGGGGCCAAGGTGTGTTCAGCCCCCGCAATATCTGTTGGGAGGGGGATAGGCCCCCTCAGCACTGAGGAGGCCGAGCGTGGAGCTGAGCGCAGCGTGGCATGGCTTCAGTGGCCTCCTCCTGAGCACGAGAGAGGAGGAGCCACTGGCCATTGAAGCCTCAACCTGCTGGGTTCCATGCTTGTTCCCGACGATGCAACATTGCACACTCAATGTGCGCATGACGCCACACGCACACGACGGGGCCCCCCTCAGTCTTGGGACACAAGTCGGCGCCTCTGGTGATGTCAGCCTCCGGGGAATCAGGTCCCTCCCACGGACACAGCCAAGAATCAGAGAAACGATCAAAGTTCTTACCATGCAATTTATTCAATAATTCACAGAGAGTGACAAAGGAATGCAGCCTTCCCTAAATATGGCATTGCTCCAAGTAAAGTCCCGTTACCCCCACGTCTCCCCTATTCGACGTCATTCCTATGTTGGGTAATCTGAGCTTTCTGCTGCTGAGCTCTCTGTTCTACTACCCTAGTCCTGGGGGGCGGGGGGCTGGTCAGGAATGCTTTCCAAGGACACTGAATCTGTCAGCCGTCTCTCCCCTGGTGTTTCTTCTTCTACTTCCTGCTGTTCCTCTTCCAATATTTCCCAGCTTCTGCCCTCTGCAGCCTCTGAAATATGCCCTTCTGCAAACCACTGTTCTAAATCTATACTGTCCTCCTGTTCTCTAGAAGCTTCAGGGGAAGGGGGAGGGTCCCCACTATTCTTCCTCAGTCCAGCCCCTGACAGATGAGACAGGATGCTGGACTGGAAGGACCAATGGCCTGATCCCGCAGGCTGTTACGTTCTTATGCTCACAATCATTTCTTCTGGCCTCTGAGCCTGTCTGGGAGAGAGAAGATAAAACAGTAACAATGGGAGGCATTTGCATGGGAAGATACATCAGGGTACAGGATGGTGTGGAGAAAATGGCTAGAGAGGTGATTTTCTACCTCTCTCAAGGGGAATAGAACCAGGGCTCATCCATCCAAGGAGAAGGAGTGCCAGGAGCTTCTAGATAGACCAAAGGAGGTGCTTCTTCTCGCAGTGCCTAGTTAAGCTATGGAAGATGCAGTGGTGGCTACTTAAAGGGAGATTAGAATAATTAGTGCAGGATAAGGCTATTAATTTCACTAGCCAGGATGGCTCTCTTACCTCTAATATCAGAGGCAATACGCCTCCCGAGTACCAGTTATTGGGGATGACAAGTGGAAAGTGCTGTTGTGCTCATGTGCCGGTTGTGGACTTCCCATAGGCATCTGCTTGACCACTGTGGGGACAGAATGCTGGACCAAACGGACCTTTGGTCTGATCTAGCAGGGCTCTTAGGTTCTAAAGAGCTTCAAACCACACCGCCACCCTTTCTAAATGTAAAGAATTCTTAAAACAGACAAGGAAGGCAGCATGAAAATACCTGTTGAGGACGCTTTAGGAAATGTTTATATGTGGTTTTTTTAAAAAAAATCAAAACCGTGTGTGTGAATAGATGTACCATGTGGCATGCAAAATTGTGATGAATTGGCTTTAGAAAACACAATGATTAAGTACCAGGCAAACATTCATGTTTTAAAAACGCAGCTTTGGCTTGTTAAATGCATATCTAGCTTAGGGCAAGGTGTTTTTTTGTTTACTTAGTTACCCTTAAATTACTTCTGTGCTACCCCATAAGAGGAGTTCTCTTGATGGAATACATAACAGAAACTGCTAAAATACTAGGAAGACAATTTTTAAAATTAAAAATACCTTTAGTGTAAAATGCCAAAAGAATCATAAACAAGTTGTGGCAGAAGTTAAGTAATAAGATTAATTGAATAAAATTAAATGCAAACAGGTCTTACATGTCTTTAGAAATGCCCGAACCTCAGAATTGTTGTGATTCCTGATCCACTCCATTCATAGCCTTCCTTGGAGGTTTCTAAGCAGGGGCTGGATGGCCATCTGTCATGAATGCTTTAGCTGAGACTCCTGCACTGCAAGGAGTTGGACCAGATGACTCTTCCAACACTACAATTCTATTATTCAGTTTCTGTGAAAACCGCCAAAAACGTTTACCCCTGAGGGAAGGGGCGTTAGCAGAGTAGAGTTAACCTCCAGCCATGGTTGCCCTGTGAATCTGATTCCTTACGCGTTGGATGCCAACTCCATTTGGGATGCGCCACAACTCAGTGGCGCAAAGTATCTGCTTTGCATGCAGGTCTAATCCCTGACATCTCCACATAAGCCTGGACAACACCCATCTGGAACCCTGGGAAATCACCGCCCACCAATGTAGTTGGGACTCAACTAGATGGGCTGTTAGTCTGACTCAGTGGTCCCTCGTGGTCCCTTCTATCTCTACACTCCTGTGATTCCATGTCCACATATTCTTCCCTCTTCCTTGCCCAAACCTGTGTGAAGTCCTTGCCCTTCCTCTCCCTCCTGATTGATTCAACTCCCATGGGGCCAAAACCCAGGGCAAAAGCTGTTGAATGACCAGAGGTGGACTGAGCTCCTCTACTTTGAATAGGTGTGTAGAGACAAGGGAATGTCGGCGTGTTCGGCCTTTCTCATCCCTGCACAAGTTTCCTCTCCTAAGTACTTCCTGTCTATGCAACTATGAAAGGTGCAAGGGCTCCTCCCTGCGTCCCCATCCTCTTGCATCCTGGTCTGGGCACCCTTGGCAGATGCCATGTACGGTTGATGAGTCAGTCCGTTCCAAGACAATCTTGGCTGAAAATATATTCCTTGTGATCAGGCGGTGTAATTTCCTGAGACTTACTAAGCGATAAGGATGTCGAATCTGTCCCACGCCTTGTGATGTGTTTGTCTTTTATCCTCATGCAACCAAATACAATGATGTAGCTGTGTTCCTTCACAAAACATGGTTTTACAAGCCCCGTCAAAGGCAGATGTGAATGGGAGCATGTGATACAAAGCAATGGGAAGCCATCCCTGCCTCAAGGAGTTAACCATCATTAAAAAACAACAACGACATTCTGATTTCAAAGTGAGCTTCTCAGGAAACAGGGAAGGGCTAATTCCCCACCCCACCCCTTGATTACTTTTACTTTATCTCCAGTTGTTTGCAGGGGAATGTTGGTAGATAAGCATTACTTGGCTTAACTGTGGTCACATCTACCTACAGTACAAATTTAAAACAACATGAAACTGATTGAGGGGCCAGGGCTATGTCTTGGGGACTGTGGTGTTGTGAAGATGCTGAGAATTTTTCTTGGGATCCCTATACAGTAGTGTTTTCACATTCAACTACAGTTCCCAAGTTCTATTGGTTGGGTGCTGTTACCGCCTGGTTCCAATTTCTAGTGCAGAAATAGCCATAATTATTGCATCAACCAATCCATATGCATATCTCAGCCTATGCCATGTTTATATTGTGGGAGAAAAATATGAATCTCTGTGACCCACTTTTGTGAGGTAAATGACAAAAGAACTGGCTGGATTGGCTGGATTGGCTGGATTCAAAATGTGGGGCTAAACTCACTCTCCAGCAGGGGGAATCACCCAGTTGCAGAGTTTAAACTCACAAGGTAAGTAATATAGGTTGTTAGATCATTTTATCCCATTAAGTTGTATACAGCGCTTGCCTGTTTTTACTCCTCTTGCAATGAACAGATCACACACTGCTAAGTACTGTAAGTTAAAATGCTTTACTTACAGATTAAAAGGTCAGATTCATACATTTATCCAAGCAGCAGTGAGGAGAACACAGGCAAAATACTCTTGGGGAGAAAATACAGAAATATAGCTTCAAACACATGCAGTAAGCTTGGAGCAAAGCTGAGACATGTCCTTCCTCATAGGTTACGGAAGATAGGGCTTGCCCTTGGTGAATATGTACGGTGTTAGAGGATATGAAAAGAGGAATGACACCAAGCCACATCAACAGGGATCAGGGAGCTTGACTATTCTGGGATGTATGTCAAGTGCCAATATTCTGAAACAGATCCTCAGGAGTCAGAAAGTTTCTGCCTTGGGCCAAAGGAAATCCAATACAAGCAAAATGTACCGTATTTTTCGCTCTACAAGACGCACCAGACCATAAGATGCACCTAGTTTTTGGAGGAGGAAAACAATAAAAAATAATATTCTGAATCTCAGAAGCCAGAACAGCAAGAGGGATCGCTGCGCAGTGATCCCTCTTGCTGTTCTGGCTTCTGGGATAGCTGTGCAGCCTGCATTCACTCCATAAGATGCACACGCATTTCCCTTTACTTTTTGGGAGGGAAAAAGTGAGTCTTATAGAGCAAAAAATACGGTAAATCTCCAAACCTGTCAACATGGAGACTCCCCCCCCCCAGTTTGTGATCTTCAAACTTTTTGAAAATACAAAAGTCATTTAAAAAACAACAACTAACATAATCCTTTTTTAAAGGTCTTTTTTAAATTCTTGAAATGCAAAACATAATACAGTGAAAAACACAAATATCAGTGTTTGTATACATACAAATATATCTGAAGGCTTTATCCGTGGAAACGAAACAAAAAACCCTAGACATTTTGCCAAATTTCAAAATTCCCACCTGGACACAAATTTTAAGGCTGAGTAAGAAGATGTACCCAGGAAGAACCAGACGTATGGCAACCCTGGCCTCTCCCCTGGAGCAGAGCCCTCCTCCAGCTCCCTGAGTTCCTCCCACTTTCTCCTCACCCAACCAATCCCCTCCATGGGGTTCATGACGCTTTCAGCATATGATACCTCTGCTTACAGATCTGTACCAGTTGCCCATTTGTTACTATGCCAGATTCAAGGTGCTACTTACACATCACTTGGGAAGACAGGTGAACTAATACCATTGTACTGGAAGAAGCAAATAACACCATTGTTGAAGCAATGATTCTTCAACATCAGCTTTGTTGGACTGGTCATGTTGTGAGGATGCCTGATTATCATCTTCCAAAGCAACTACTCTATTCCGAACTTAAAAATGGGAAAGCGTAATGCTGGTGGTCAACAGAAGAGGTTTAAAGACTCTCTCAAGGCAAATCTTAAAAAAATGTAGTAGAAACACCGGCAACTGGGAAACACTGGTCTGTGAGTGCTCCAATTGGAGAACAGCCTTTACCAAAGGTGTAATGGGTTTTGAAGACACTTGAACGCAGGATGAAAGGGAGAAGCGTGCTAAGAGGAAGGCACGCTTGGCAAATCCACACCGTGATCAACTCTCACCCAGAAACCAATGTCCCCATTGTGGAAGGACTTGTGGATCCAGAATTAGCCTCCACAGTCACTTATGGACTCACTTTTAAAACCATGTTTATGGAAGACAACCTTTCTCGGCTATGAGTGATTCCCAAAGAAGAAGAGAAGAAGAAGAAGCTACTTGCTGCTGGTATGTAGGTTCTAGAATTATAGGGTTGGGAGGAGACCCAAAGGGTCATCAAGTCCAACCACCTGCAATGCAGGAATCTTTTGCCCAGTGTGGGGCTCAAACCCATTAAAGCCCTTCACAGCTTGAGACCACTTGTGGGATCTCCCTACTCTATAGATGTGTCCACTTCAACCACTTCAATTTGTGGAACTGCCACTGTTACAGGTGCCACATAATACTCTGCACTGTAAGAGACTTTTATTTTAATTTATTTTAAGAGATTTTAATGCAGCAGTACCTACATGTTGGAACTCCGTAATAATTTCAGCCAGGCACCTTCGCTGTTCTCTTTTTGGCTTAAAACAGTTTCGTTTTAAGCCTATCCAGACATACAGATCTTGACGTGTTTTATTCTCCTTACTGTTGGTTTTAGTCACCTTCAAATGTTTTCTAACTGCAATTTTAATATTTCTTGTAAACCGCTTTGAGATTTTATTGCAATCAAGGGTTATATATTTTTTGATAAAAATGAATGGACTAGCAAGCGATATAGTTGGGCTTTGACAGCCTGCCCTCCAAAACCTTCAGGATCTAAGGGGGCGGGGGATTTTAAACAGAGAGCCAAGATTCTCAGCAAAGTTCAAAGGCTCATCCAATATTAAATTGCACACAAGCTGTGAATTTCAAGAGCAGAGGTGGCGGCAAGTTTTTGAGGCCTCACCAAAAAGAAAAGAAAAAAGGGAAAGCAATGTTAGCCATACAAGGCAAGACCTTCGCACCCTCTTCTTAAAAGTAGAGGGGGGACGTCCCTTTCGCAATGCACACCTAGCCCATAGCATAGAAAGTAGAAACCCATAGATTATCTCGGAGGTTCAGAGAAGCCTGGCCATTCCAGCTTTTAAGACCGCTAGCTATAATAAAAATAAAAATGACAACACCCAAAAAAACAGAATTAGGTGCCAAAAATAAAGAGGGATGTAACTTTTTTGAGGGGATACTTAACAAAGCCTTTCCTATCTGAGAGTGTCACATTTGGGTCCGGTGTGCATATAAACAAGCTGCGAAACTTATAATTTTTTTTAACAAGTGTCTAAATCTGAGGCCTCCTTTGAGCTCTAAGCCCCTGGGCCAAATGGTCATCCTGACACCGCCCCTCTGCCCTGATTGTCCCTGAGGCCCCAATAAACAGTAAATAACAATAGCCCCTCAGTGTGTAGGACCAATGAGTCGGCCAGAAAAATAGGTTTTCCCAGGGAATCGTCACATGATGGCTGGACTGTGAGGGAGGGGGAGCCCTCGGCTTGGCCTTCCCCCTTTGGCACCTCCACCAGGACAGAGCTCCCCAGTGGCAATGGGATCTGACAATTGGCTTTGTGTAGCCTGTCAGAAGACAGCCTACATGGCAATGACATGCTTTCTCCTCTACTTCAGGACTCCTCTTGCCTATTTGCTGGCTGACCTTTTCTGTAGCCCGAGCGGATGGAAATCCTAGCAGCAGCAGCAGCAGCTAAAAGCAGGGAGTGCTCTGCATAAAACTGATTGGCCCATCTGGGTGGATATATTGGGATGATTTGTGAAAATCCAGACAAGCAAACAAAGGGACAAGGACAGCAGCCCAAATAGGTCAAGGGAGGCTCATGGGTTGTTGTTGCTGCTGCTGCTGCTGCTGCTGCCGCCACTCCTCTTTCCATCTCGAAGAAAACACATTTCTGAGACAGGAAAACGCTGCCGCCTGCATATCCTGGTCCTTTAAAGTGCCCCCCAGTTCAGCCTCACACCAGGTGTCTTAAGTTCCCCATCCCCAGCTCGCCATTTGCCTCCGCTCCAGAAATAAATCAAAACGTCTCTTAAAACTCATTTGTGTTCTTTTGCTTCTGAATGTCTTCAGCACAGTCTGTTTGCCAAGCCCTTTGGGCTGAATCGCAGGCAGACATTAGCAGAGGACACTTCATCTTACCAACCTTATGTATCTGTTTTGTTTCTTGGAGGAGAAAAAAGAAGCAGGAGGACTGTGGCGGCGGGTGGGGAGGGAGGGGGAAAGCACTTATGCAGAGGGGGAAAGATAGGGAGGCGGCTCGGTGCAGAAATGAAAAGGACCTGAGTCAGAATAATGAATTGGGGACATTATCTCCGCTCTGCCACGCCGCTTGCAACTTTCCCAGACCTGCATGGGTGACACTGACCTTTAAAATGTCTGTTGGAAATGCACGCTGAGGCAGACTGCAAGCAGAGCCAGGCAGTGTAGGGGTGGAGTGGGGGAAGGCATCAAATTTATTTCTTTCCCCATTCTATTGCATTTCCAAATTGAACCAGGACCTTAAAGTTTAGTGCTACTCCAATATGAAAGCTTTTTTCCAGTCACATCTTAGAGACCAACTAAGTTTGTCATTGGTACGAGCTTTCGTGTGCATGCACACTCTAAGTTTGTCATTGGTACGAGGCCATTGGAGGCCACCAGGTTCGGAAAGGTTGGCAAGCCATGTGTTATGGCGGGATGGGGTAAAGATTAAAGATAATAACAATGATGTTATATGGGAAAGTCAAAATAAAAATAAAAAATTGTCCAGTAGCACCTTAGAGACCAACTAAGTTTGTTCTGGGTATAAGCTTTCGTGTGCATGCACGAAAGGGGTTTTTCTCAGAAGGGTAGTAGGAGATCGGTGATTGATTCAATGGGTATGGTAAACCTGTTGAAGACTGTTAATGACTGCAATTATTCCTATAGGAAAAGGCAAGGGATAGTATGCAGATGACCAAAAATAGCTTTAGCATGTATAATGAGACAGCAATCCAATATCTCTATTCAGACCAGGTCTCTCCATAGTTTTCAGTTTGGTAATAAGTTGTAATTCAGCAACATTGAGTCAATCACCCATCTCCTACTACCCTTCTGAGAAAAACGCCACCCCACCCTCCCACCATATATAAGGGTATGGTGACTTCTGCTTCAGTGAATCTGAAGAAGTGTGCATGCACACGAAAGCTTACACCCAGAACAAACTTAGCTGGTCTCTGAGGTGCTACTGGACAATTTTTTATTTTTATTTTATCAGACCAACATGGCTACCTACCTGAATCTAGATATATGGGAAAGTTAGCAGATATCAGCCCAGGTGTAGTTGCTTTAAGGCCAGTGCCCATCCTTAGACTCATAAGAGTTGGAAGGGACCCAGAGAATCATCTAGTCCAACCCCCTGCAATGCAGGACTACGCAGCTGTCCCTTATGGGGATCGAACCTTGAACCTTGGCATTATCGGCACCATGCACTAACTATCCATCTACTATCAAACCAATGTTCTGAGGCGTTTTAGGACCTTGGGTACAACTTCCAATTGATACCCTCACTCCTATCGGTTAACATGGGCTTCAGTTCATCAACAGGGTCTCCTTTAACCAGCCTTGCACAAGTCCTGGTTCACTTCAGTAAGGCTTGCACAGTTAGGCTTGTGTGTAGATTGTGCTCTGTGGGTGAGAAGGTGCCTGTCGTGTAAATCTACCACCTGAAAATGTCACCTCAGCCTGTCGTCTAGGAGTGGCTGGATGCAAAAGAATGATGAGGCTTCCTGCACTTCTAAATAGTTGTCTTAAGAGACAGAATTTCAGCAGGTGTAGCTTGCAGGCTTTGGTTCCTCCTGCTGAAATTCCGTCTCCAGCACAATGGCTAAAGGTATAAAAATTCTATCCTGTTGTTTACACGGCCACTCAACTCCTGGGCAACCAATTGAAGTTGACCTCCACAAAACAGACACATCAAGTCAACCAAAATGAAATTTGCATCAAACTTGATTGTAGACAAATGTCCAGAATTTGCAACATCTGTTTATGTTATTCCTTCGAAATTTCATGTCTTAATTTCTTACAAAGTATTTCTTACTTTTTTCTTAAAGAACAAACAAGTAAACTTTGAGGTCAGGCAGCAGCAAGAATCTGTTTTCTCCCCCACCTTCCTTAACCCAGCCTATTTGGGCACCCGGAACTCAAAAAATTGAGCAGGAGGGAGAAAATGTACCGTATTTTTCGCTCTATAACACGCACCCGACCATAACACGCACGTAGTTTTTAGAGGAGGAAAATCCGTAGGCATGCCACCCGTAGGCATTCCCTCCATAACACGCACAGACATTTCCCCTTACTTTCTAGGAGGAAAAAAGTGAGTGTTATGGTGCAAAAAACACGGTAATTAGTATGAGAGCGGGAGGTGCCATTTATCACTCAAAGTCTTCTGCCAGCCTGAAGGGGAGGGGCCATCACTCAGAAGCAGGGCACATGCTCAGCATACAGAAAGTTCCAGGTTCAATTCCTGCTCTCTTCAAGTAGAGCTGAGAAAGATTTCTCTTTGGAATCCTGGAGAGCTCAATGGAGACAGTAGTGGACCTGGTGGACTAGTGGCAATAACACAGTTTCCTATATTCCTAGATATTCAAGCCAGTGTATGCGTGTGTGCTGGAATTGCAGGAGGTAGCACATTTTAAACATTTCTGCCCTTGCATTGCCTGCCAGTCCATGACCTGAGGCAAATAGCTTCACTGTGGCACTGTGGGTTAAACCACAGAGCCTAGGACTTGCCGATCAGAAGGTTGGCGGTTTGAATCCCCGCGACAGGGTGAGCTCCTGTTGCTCGGTCCCTGCTCCTGCCAACCTAGCAGTTCGAAAGCACGTCAAAGTGCAAGTAGATAAATAGGTACCGCTCTGGCGGGAAGGTAAACGGCGTTTCCATGCGCTGCTCTGGTTCGCCAGAAGCGGCTTAGTCATGCTGGCCACATGACCCGGAAGCTGTACGCCGGCTCCGTCGGCCAGTAAAGCGAGATGAGCGCCGCAACCCCAGAGTCTGTCACGACTGGACCTAATGGTCAGGGGTCCCTTTACCTTTACCTTTACCTTCTGACGGAGAGGCACCCTTAGGCTCTCAGTGACTGTGATTTTTTCCCAGAGTTCAGACAAAGTCTTTTTCTACTCCAGAGGTTGCAGCAGTTGCTTTTAATTTCAGCCTGGACTTAAGGAAGCTGAAAGGTAAACATAACCAACCACAGTTATCCAAGAAGCTGAGGGTCGTATTTGTGCTCCTCACTAGCACTTCCACTACTTAAAGACTTGGAGAAATTAAGAGAGGAGCTCCCAACTGTCCTTGTCTCACTAAGGAGGACCACACCACGCATTGTTGAAATCCCATGAAAATCCCTCCTGTTCATTGCACCCTTATCCTGCTCGGCTTTTTCTAAATAAGTGTGAGCTTTCTACCCAGGAGAGGGCCAGACTCTGTTTGTGGGATTCAATGCCTGCTGTGCATTGTTCGTTGCAAGGCACTGCTGATGTGCCTATGCAACGCCGTGTGGTTCAGAGCAAATCTACAGAAGTTTCCCATCAATGGCTTCCTTTCCTGATTCAGCTTTTTGTACACCTGCAATTTAGGGCACCACACACCACACTTAACGCAGGACGTTCAGAAATTTGACTTTAAAAAATAACAAAACCCCCCAAAAAGCACTGAGTGATGCGCTTTGTAATGAGGGACAGTTTGCAAGCTTTGCTCCAAGGGACATTGAATTAAAAACAGCCCTTTGGTACTTCTGGACGGGCTATTCCTATAATCATAGAGCTGCAACAAACTGCCTTTGCCACAGGCTTTTATTTGAGATTCTGATAACAGGCTGTGGTTTTGAGGAACTAGAGCTCTCGCTAGACAAGGCTCGGTCTTGTCGAATTATTGACTTTGTAGTGTATATCATTCCCCATTGTAGCGAGGTAATGGCAGCTCTCACTAACACACTAGGAATATGTTAAGGAACTGCACAGTGCAGCGACGGCAAGTTTCTGTTTTATCTTGTTAGACTTACCCGACGTCACGTTGGTATTCAGCCCAGCTAATGCCGTGCCGTTAAAAAAAGAGAGAGAGAGAGAGGGAGTCTTACATTAATGACTTTTGTCACAAAAGTCATTAACATAATAGGACTTCCACATCAAAATTGAATATTAATGCTACACCAGGCTGAGGTAGTAAGAGGGATAATTGCTCTAATACATTTTCCAGTCGGATTTTCGCATCGTGGTAGCAATTGCATTAGCAAACCCGATTATTAACACATCTGATACAATGGCAGTGGCTAATAGGAGTTAAGTTGGTTCTTTTTCTTCTCCCCACTCAGGGCCACAGCCCTTGTTCCAAAGCAAAAAATCACAGGCGCTGCCAAAATCTATGCACAAGCGTCAGCAGGAAACGTTTAATCAGGATGGTGAGCACAGAGATAGACCAGGAGTTTGGGATAAATTTGCGAGAAGGACAAATTACTCCTCCCCACTTTGTTACTAGGGGCAAATTGCTCCAGCCTCCAACTTTCCATCTGCGAAATGGAGGTGAGGGCTTCCTTGCTTAGATATTGTGAGGAGGATCCTCTTACTGTCACAAACAATGCTGAAAGGGCTGGTGATGATCACACAGAAATGAAAAATGTATGATTTTGTTAAAAAATGCAAATGTTGCAGTCAGGCTGATTGTGCAGGAGTGCAGCCATTGTCACTGCTAACTCTATGAATATTTCCCCTAATATTTTAGGACCCCTGTGCAAGACAGATAAACATGGAAGCAAGCCCCTTTGATGTTCGCATGCAGCATGCTTTGAAGTAAATGCGCTGCTTAAGGAAGCAATCCTGCAATCAACCGGGCAGGCAACTGAGAGGCTGTGGGATGGCTGCAGACCCTCTCTCCAGGTGAGAGCAAGATCAAGGGCAGAATGGGAGGCCCATGGGCAGAAGTCTCCCCTATTGTGGCACCTGAAAGCCCCACTGATGTCACTCTGTAACTGAAGATGTTCCAAGGCGGAGTTTCTCAGCCTGTGGGTCCCCAGATGTTGTTGGACTACAACTCCCATCATTCCTAGCCAGCCATGACCAGTGGTCAGGGATGATGGGAGTTGTAGTCCAACAACATCAGGGGACCCACAGGTTGAGAACCGCTGCTCCAAGGGGAGCATGTCCAGAAACAGGGTGTGCTCCTGGGGCATGTTGGGGTGGGGTGGATGAGGGCGTTGGATCTGCCAGACCCGAAGCTGCTGCCCCCTCATTATCATGAAAAGAGTGCATCGTAGAATTGTAGAGTCGGAAGGGACCCTGAGGATCATCTAGTCCAACACCCCACCCCCGCAATGCAGGGATAGTCAGCTGTCCCATACGGGGATCAAACCTGCAACCTTGGTATTATCACCACCATGCTCTAAGCAGCTGAACTAAAAGCCAACAAACTGGACAACATTTTCCCTACTGTTTGTGTCAGTGGCAGAATGTGTGTTCGAAATCTGCCCGCATACCTTCAGTCCTGGCTCTCTCAAGCTAACAGGGCTTAGGCAGTGGCATTTTTGCTGCCACCTTAGTCTGTTAGGGCATATAGCCTTTCTTCAGGATCGCCGCCAATTTTATAGCACACTCCTAGGCTTGCTTACCCAGAAGTAAGTCCTGCAGCGCATCAAGGGCATTTCAATCTTTCTTATCATTTGTCCTCAAAATACCCTTTGAAGTAGGTCTTTATTTTTCCTAGTTTTACAGATGGGGGAGCTGAAGCAGTGGGAGTGTGGCTTGCCTAAAGCCTCCATGCGGAAGTTCTGTCTGCTTGCAGTGCTCTGGTTTTTGCAGAATTCCAGTATTCTGACGAGGCTGGATACTGAAGGAGACCCAGACTGGATTGAGATGGATGTGGGAAGACTAGGTTCAGCATTGGACAGTGATGGTGATGGAGTGCTTTGCAGGACGTAGTAACCTTGCCTCTAACAATTACTCTTCTGTGAATTCTAATGTACTTCTGGAAATCAAATTCCTTGCCAGATAGCAAATTTCCAGTGATGTGAATGTGTGTGGGGGTGGGGGTGGTGGGAATAATATATGCAGCCAAAAGATCAAAAGTTTGCAGAAGATCTGGTATGCAGGATGAGACCCTACCTGTCCACAGACTGTCTCATCAAAGTGGTGCATACCTTGGTTTTCTCCCGCTTGGACTACTGTAATGTGTTCTATGTGGGGCTACCTTCCAAGGTGACTTGGAAACTACAGCTAATCCAGAATGTGACAGCTAGACTGGTGACCGGGAGTGGCTGCTGGGACCATATAACATCAGGCCTAAAGTATCTTCACTGGCTTCTAGTACGTTTCCTAGCACAATTCAAAGTGTTGGTGATGATCTTTAAAGCCCTAAATGGCCACCGCCCAGTATACCTGAAGGAGCATCTCCAGCTCCATCGCTTAGATCCAGCTCCGAGGGCCTTCTGCTGGTTTCTTCACTGAGAGAAGTGAATTTACAGGGAACCAGGCAAAGGACCTTCTTGGTAGTGGCGTCGTCCCTGTGGAATGCCCTTCAGATGTCAAGGAGATAAAGAACTACACAACTTTTAGAAGACATCTGAAGGCAGCCCTGTATCAGGAGGTTTTTAATGCTTGATATTTTTAGATATGCTGTAAGCCGCCCAGAGTGTGGCTTATTATTAAGCTTCTATCAAAAATTGGGAGGGGTTTGTATAAGGTCTGTGTGCCAAAATCCCATTGCTTAAACTCCTTCTCAGCTAAAAACTATACATGCAGGATGGGTTTCTATGCAGTTTGATGACAGAGTTTCAACCTGCTATACCTGCAGGGCTTCAGCTCAGTGAAAAAACAAGGGTTTCACCTTAATGCACAAACAGGTTTATACCTACTTATCATTGCCTAGAGATCAGCTCAGTTGTTACCACAGGGCTGTGTGCTTTTGCTAACACACACACATAAATCAAATGCAACCACAAAATGCAAATTCTGTAACCGGAATGCACCATGCAAATTGGGCACATTTAATTGTATAAACTCAGTGTGAAGCATGCGTGTTCTACTTCCGCAATTCAGATTCTGACATAATGGTGGGAGGGTAAGGGCTTGGCCATGTTCTGCAGCTTTAGTGGCCAGTGCTGGCGCCACCATGAAGGCACACCATCGCTTCCTCTTCCTCTGAATCCTTGAGAGGGTTTTCCCTCAGCCTTGCTTGGCCATCCTTTTCACAACTACACACACCTTTTCCCATCTGCCCGGCTTCTGTTGCCTGCTAGCAGTTCTCTATTTCTTTCCTTAAACTTAGTTCCAAGACACCTTTCTAAGAAAGGCTCACTTAGTTACATGTTGTTGTTTACAAATATTGAAATATTGGGAGGGGGGAAATACTGTTAATAAAGTCAAATTGTCAAGAAGAAAGAAAGAAAGAAAGAAAGAAAGAAAGAAGAAGAGGAGGAGGAGGAGTTTGGATTTGATATCCCGCCTTTCACTCCCTTTAAGGAGTCTCAAAGCGGCTAACATTCTCCTTTCCCTTCCTCCCCCACAACAAACACTCTGTGAGGTGAGTGGGGCTGAGAGACTTCAGAGAAGTGTGACTGGCCCAAGGTCACCCAGCAGCTGCATGTGGAGGAGCGGGGAAGCGAACCCAGTTCACCAGATTACAAGACTACCGCTCCTAACCACTACACCACACTGGTGGTGAAAGAAAGGAGGAAGGAAGGAAGGAAGGAAGGAAGGAAGGAAGGAAGGAAGGAATAAATATACTTTTCCAACTTGCTATGGGTGGAATAAAGGTATTCGATTATTTGGTTGGTTGCTAAGTTTATACCCTGACCTTCGATTCCCAGGCCCAGCAGGATGCCTAATGAAAAGTTAAAATTTACAGTAAAGCAAATGAAAACACAAAACATTAAAAGAAGAACAAGACACCACAGGATAAATGAACAGTCAGCAGAATTACAAACAAATGAGCAGCACAAAAGCAATGTAGAAAGGATTAAAAAGCCTCTGGAAGGGAGGGGGGTAAAAGGTATTTCCCTTGAACCAAAATGGTATCAAGGTAAGTAAGTGACTGGCAAGATCCCCAGGGAGGGTGTTCCACAGTTGAGTGTCACCACCCAGTACACCCTTTCTGCTGCAGCCACCTGGTGCACCTAGAATGTCAACAGGAATCCCAAAAAAGACATCCATTTGAGTTCTTAGATTAAATGTTACAGCAAAGGAGAGGGAACCTGTAACCTGCCAGATGTTTTTAGACTTCAACTCCCATCAGCTCCAGCAAGCATGGACAATGGTCATGCTGATGGGAGTTGTAGTTGAGCAATATCTGGAGGACCACTGGTTCCCCTCCCCTAGTACAGGGTTTTCTTGGCTGGTGTGGTTGATCTCCCTGAAGTTCTCTTTTGGCCGGAACTAGCTGATACGCCAACAGCTAGATTCACATCTACCATTTCTTAGGTTCCCCCATTCAAGACCCACATTGGGTAATTGGAAAGGAAATTATGTTCCAACCGAAGAAGAATGGTTGAATAAATTATGCGAATACTTGGAATTAGCAAAGTTGACTGATTTGATAAGACAAAAACCAAAAAATATAATCCAGAAACAATGGAAATGTCTAAATGATTATTTATTTAGACAAGGATTAAATGTAAGGTATTGGTTGTGTTTAGAATAGATTTATGAAACATTTAGAAAATTTATTGATTAGAATATTTGTGTGAGATTGTATGGGACAAATACGGAATAATAGATACAATATTGCTTAAAATGTATATAGGAAGTGCAGTGTAAGCGATGGAAGTCAATCAATGAAATTTTATTATTATTTTCATGTTAAGATATTTGTAGAATAAATTTGGAAGAAATTCTTCCAGCTTTTCTTCTTCTTTTCTCTTTATTTCTTCTTCTTCTTTTTACTTTTCTTTTTTTCTCTTTTGTTCCTTTTTTCATGTATATATGCTTATTTGAAGTGTATATGTGTGTATGTATTTGCAGTGTTTTGCTTATATTTTGTAACAATTATGTTAAATAAAATTAAAATTAAAAAAAGACCCACACTGGGTTTCCATGCTGCTGACACGGTCGCAGCTATAGCCAGCTAGTTCCTGCCACCCTCATCGTTCCACAACTAGTACAGAGAGAATACCTCAGGTGGGCAGGAGCGAGAGGAGCAGGGAGGACCCGATTCTTGCTGGATTTGTGTATGGTGGCTTTATGAAAAAGGTCTCAGGCCCTATGCAATGACTTCCGTCCTTTCAGGCTTATGGGGCGGAGATCCCATTTCAGTTATCTGGTAATTTCAAACAGAGGCCTAAAATACACCCTAAACTCCAATCCACTCCCTCAGTCAGTTTAAAAGTAGAAGTTTCCCGGCAACCCTAGTTCCTTGCATTCTTGTGGTTGTTGGCACTTATTATTATTTTTTAACGGAAAGGACAAGATGCATTTGCTCATGTTAAAGTATTTAAATTTATGCCCTTTACTAACAATGACCTTTGTCCAGCATGGAAACTGACCTTAAAAAATTAATCTACACGTCAGCTAAATTAGGGAAGCCATTTAAAACCAATCACAGGGTAAACCATCTTTTAATCAAGTCTACATGTATTCCAGACACATGCGCGGCCCAAGAGGACATCTGATTCATAATATTGATTATTGATTAAAACTCTTAATTTTTGATTTTTAATTAAAAAGCAAGTTTCTAGCCATGTTTGTGAGAAAGACATACAAACATTCAGAGGTGCTTTCTGACTTGCAAAGCAGTGGAGCTGCCCGTTCTCAGTCGGATCAGAAGTTGGGCCG